CAAAACTTTAGCGTGACTGACTCACTAAAATCCAGCAGTGTCTACACACAGACTAATCCCAATCATATCAAACTGTAAGCTCACTGATTGATTATACTTCCAACAATGTTCAGGCTCAAGAACCAGACAAGCGCAAGAACAGCGGATACTGATGAATTGGGAAAGTCACTTTTAGATAAAAACATAACCGAAGTAAAAAGCCTACTCTTACCTGCAAATAACAGACAATAGCAACTGAAGTTAGTGCTGATGATGTCGTCTAGCAAGGCGATGAAAGCTTCACGACTAAACAACCCACCTCAGAGAACACAATACAACCAAGAACAACTTTTTCCTCCTACATTTTCTTTTGACAACATGCTTGACAGTATTCAGAAAGTTTAAGTACCTGCATATTTATGTGAATGCTTGTGTAGCTCTGCCGGATGAAGACAGTGTAGTGAATGAAAATCTAGGCCACCTTTTGTGTCACTGCATTGTCAGTTTGACTGTGAACAGCAAAGTACACAACGCTTTATGTGAACGAAAACTAACTTCTCTAAGCGAAGAACGTTAGACGACCAAATGTGTCTAGTGACCAGCTTCTCTGTATAAATGCCTGGATTAAGTGACAACAGTTTGTAAGCAGTTCCAGTACCACGAAAGTATGTGGTTAAGGATGACAGAAACGATCATTTAGTGTGTGAAGCCATCTTCAGTAGGTTTAATGCAAATTATCTCAGTGCCTTCCTAATCCTTCAACTTTATATCTGAGACTGTTTGAAGAGTGATAAATTAACAAGAACTAGTCAATGGGTTATCCGGTTCGTCCAAAATCTTGATTGAAATTTATTGATAAGCTGTGCAATGTGACTCCAATAATTATTGATATGTAATTGTTTTATTTTCGACATTTGGAATTCGTTGAGAGAATGTAAATTAGAATTAGGTTTTATGCTCATTTGTAAATAAATATCTGAGAACAGTAGATGGATAGTAGTTCAGTGGTTTTAACATTCACCGCTCAATGTGAAAATCAAGGAATTTAACGCTTAGTCACTCAGGTCAGTTTTCATGAATACATAAAGCCATTAAGGTCAGAAAGTCAGGTGTTGATTTTGACTGGTCAGCTGTAGGATAAAGTTTTCCAATAAGGTTTTTCATGACCATACAGTAACATGAAAAAAAAGTTAAAATCCAAAATGTCTGTCTTAGTGCCAGATGACTTAAAATGTTAATTTCCATTCAGGCGCTTCTCATGAATTTCCAACTATGAACTGTAACTAACAATTACTTCAAACAGCGTGTCACAAATGCAATGAAAACCTATCATGCTGATCATGAAGGTGTCAAAAACACCTAACCTCGATGTGCACAGGTGACACCTCTGCTTTTTTCTCTCAACAACCATCTGAAGTCTAAAAGTGAACGTAAAATAACTATGAAATCATTTCGTTCCCTGATTTAAATAAGAACAAATTATTTTGATTTTGGTAAAGTATAGTAAGGACTTCTAAAACATGAAACTAATCATTAATATAAGAGTAAAACTTTGGCACTGTGGTCGATTATAATTACATTTTAGTCTGTTTATTAGAAACATCACACAGTGAAACAGTAGCACTTACTGGATAACATTTCGGACACAATTTATTGTCCATATGCATATCAGGTAACTAACTCCACAACTTCGAGACAGACTTTTATATATTCCTAACTTCCTCTCCTTCTCTGTGATGACAAGGCTAGTAGAATCTTCCACATATCTGGGATAGGTGCAGAGTCATTTCTATTACTACATGTATTTGGTGTTGATTCGATAAACAAAGACTGGGTTATCAATCTCTCCCTCCATCCAACTGAGTTTTCACCACTGTCGCTCTATCCTACGCAACTGTGTGATTGTGTGTCATCGCATGCAGAGCTATAGCCAAGCTTTTCTCTGGATTTTTTTTATATTATTAGGATCTATTAATCTTGATTTACCTAAGTTTTTGTGCTCTGAAACTAATCATCTGATTATTCACAGTAGAACGATCAAATTTTCAAACTTATTTTTAAAAGTATTGTAAGAGTAATGCCTTGTTGATGTAGCCTTTGTTTAATTAGATAAAGTTCACCAGTTTTTCTTTCACTTAGCTGCCTATTGATCATGTCAGAAAAAGTGGAATAGCGTGATCACCTCTGACTAAATAAAGAACATTGGCAGTATATCGAATTCGCTGAACTTAAAGATGGCGGGAACGCAGTGACCCTGATACGCTCATCAATGAGAAAAATAACGGGAATTTTCAACGTAGTAACAAACAGAAAGTATGCTAATCGAATCTCTTTCTAAATATTCACCTATGTTATGATCAAAGTTTGACTACAAGCATTTGGTACGACACTTCATCAGAACGAAATCGTAACAAGATCTAATGAAAACGTTTTATTAAAAAACAAGTAGAAATCATTAATACAAAAATTTCAGTTTGAACCTGCATATCAAAATAGGGATGCAAAACAGGCAAAAATGACAATCTACAACCTAATTTTTTTGAGTTACAGTAACAAACGTAGCTATGATGACAGTAACTTTGACAATGCTAGGAGTAGGAATATAAAGCAAGCTGCCTAAAAAGTTCAGTGGTTTGTATCATCAGTTCAAACGTCAAAAAATACTAGTTTACAGGCCTGAAAATGCGTTATGAGACTAATGATTTGAAAGTGAATGAAACAAACAACTCTGACATTAACTGGATTACCACAGAAATTCAACCCACCAAAGTGTTGTATAGTCCATTTTGATACTGAGAATTTCGCACTTCGTTAGTGGTCAGTTGTACACATTTGCACTAGCTTTTATAAACTATATCATTTATAAAGTCGAGATTTCCTTAATTTATTAGAACGGCATTCTAGGTATTATTATTATCCAGTTGTCTTAATTGTAGTAACATTAACACTTTGCTGATCAAAAGTGATGAAACGTACAATGTCTAAAGCACAATCATCTTTGTCATAGGATCTATGACGTACCAAAAAGTCTATCATTGTGTAAATGTACCGTGCAATAGTTCACCGTCTTATCATTTGACTGTGAAATATGACCAAATAACGTGAACTATATGAAAGACTCAAGGTGTCTGACTACCGTTACTTCCGTAAGATTCACCGTCAAAGATGAGATCACTATAGGTTTGGTTAGGCTTTAATCAAATAAGGCTAAACGGATTAAAATCTGATTAAAAGTCTGAGAATGTTATGCTGAATTGTTTGTCTGAATATCTATTCTGAAATAGTGAAATGGTGGACAATATTTGTAACTCAAGTGAACGATCTTGGTCGTATTATGTTCTCTGAGCTAGGTTGTTTAATCGTGGAGCACTCATCGTCTTTCTAGATGACATCATGAGCACTAACTTCAGTATGAAGTGAGCTGTCAATATCTCTCCGGGCAAGCTACTAAATCACTCACAGAGAGATATTGACAGTTCACTCCATACTGAAGTTAGTACTCATGATGTCGTCTAGAAAGACGATGAATGCTCCACGATTAAACAACCTAGCTTAGAGGACATAATACAACAAGATAATGAAATAGTATTTTCTTGTCGTAATAAATCTATCCCTCAAGATCAGATATATCTGGATATAAATAAGTTATTAGTTGGCATTAGTAAGTGTTTAGAGTGATAGGCATCTAATCTGTAGCACTAAGTTTCACAATCCGATCACCGTTCACATCAGATTCATTTTCCAACCATTAACTAAACAAGTCCATGAAGCTGATGAGGATTTATTTTACGTTGTAAAATGAGGCGTAGAATATTCAAATAAATTGAGACAGGAAATAGTGGACAGAAATGAAATATTGTTGCTCCTAATGTATGAAGACATACTTAAGCTTTCTTAGAAAACAAGGAAAAACAAAACATTCTGTACGAGCTGATAGAGATAAGTAGACAGAATCGAAAAGCATCATTTTCATAACGCGAAGAAAATCACCACTATAAGAGAAAGAGAGAGCAGTAATGTTGAATGTTGATAGATGATACAAGAGTGGTACTCTATAGGGATGACAAAGAATAGAATCAGCAGTTAATGTTCCTTCTCAAGATAGCGTAAGTGTTACCAGACTAATTGACAGCGACCATATATAGGAAGTGATAAGCTCAAGAAAGCCTATCCGGGTGCGAAAAGGATGTCAGCTTTAGATAGCCATCTAGTCAGAAAGCATGCCACAAATACAAAATAGGATCTCCGGAAAACACATCAAAGTCATAACAACAATGTCAGCCAGAAAAATAACCGGGCCTATACTAACGAACTAACGAAACCCACACAGCCACCTTGTGTATATCCGTACAGTAGGCGATAAAACACACGTATTGTGTAAGGGCTGACGCTACTACCTAAATGCCAAACCTCGGTAGGTTAAGCGGTATTCAAACTGAAAATACAATAGCTGGAAACCAACTCCCCAAAACACAATAACCCACTATTCTCCACACTCAAATATCATGTGCCAACAAAACTGCGACGCTATGCGTCATCATAGAAAAGAGCATAGAAGGCTCCAACAAACTCCAGACATACATCCACAGCTGCCACCTACGCTAGCTCACTCAATACTGAAGATCAGATCAGATAGCCAGAATAATAAGAATAACCAACAACGAACTCTGGCTTGTCAACGAACCAACCAACAACCTATAGCCCAACAAATATTCAGAAGAAAGTGGAGATGGATTGGATTGGACATACACTGAGAAGACCATTCGGGGACATCACGTGCCAGGTCAGGCCATCGAGTGGAAGCCAAATGGGAAACGACCAGCTGAGCATCTCAGCTAAGGGTGACATGGAGGAGATCGTGTGAGGATAAAATGAAAGCTTCTCGGCAGACGTGGAGCCAGGTTCAAAAGACTGCAGAGAACAAAGTGCAATGGCGACGTGTTACTGAAGCCCTATGTTCCACTGGGAACCCGAAGGACAATTAAATGAATAATAAACATCACATTTTCAGAAAAGCCACATTTATACAGTAGCAACTTTATTCACTCATATTATGAAAATAATTTAAAAAATCAAGTATAATTTTACCGAGAAAAAAAGTTGTACAAGCAATCAAATTGAACTTCTGTCAATTTTAAAAACTCGTACTAATCCATCATCACCAGCCGTAGCCAAGTGTATAATTGACTGTCTGATATCTTTACTACGACTGCTCACTTCTGGTGAAAACGAAATTCTTCGTAATCGTTTGCCTACAACATGACACCAATCTCGTGGAAAATTTAAAACAACTGACCATCTAAAGAAACGTTCACATGAGCCAGATTCATTCAGTTTTAATAGAATTATACTTCCAGTTTCTAGACCTACAGCCATTAAATACGAAGGATGAGTAGATATATTCTGTAAATTGACAGTACTACAAACATCCAATGCTGTAACTGGATGTCCACAATCTTTATAGGTATCTAGGCGACAAAATCCTTCAACTGGTATATCCATCTCAGTTTTACAAGTACCATTCCAACAACATATTGTTGAATCACGTGATCCTGTGAAAAAGTATCTTGAAAATAAATTTTTTGAAAATGCAACAGTGAAAGGACGAGTAATGGAGGGATGAAAAATGTTGATTCATTAAAAAATATACGTAGTAGTATGTAATACTGAATTAAAATGTAAGTGATAATGCTAAATACAGTAGAATCCAAACTTGCTTCAGTACCTGCAGTCAGCTAAGACTTTGAGATGAACCCTACATATGCTGAGACCACCAAGTAATCAAAGTAAAATTAAAGTATAAGGAGTGAAGAAAGCGCAGATCCTCATTCGTATGCATACTTATAGGTCATTAGATAGAATAAATGAACGGAGAACCTCGTATACAGGTGTATCGGCTCAAGTTGCCATACTTCACAGTAGTACACAAATATAACAGGTGGATAAAAAAAGACCGATATCAAAGTAGACAAAGTCGTACGAGAATAAAAATTCTGGAGATAATGCTTGGTGCAAATATCCAAGCTTAAAAAGACGTCAAAGAGTGAATAAATCTTCGCCATTGTGACAGATTATCAGCCGTGTCACTAAGAGTCAGTTATCAACCACTCATTCCAATCGTCTCAAGGGTTCCAACCAGGCAGTCTACACTTCACCACACAACTCAGATCAACGGTCAAGGATTTTATGCATTGGAACTACGTCTTAATTTGGTCATCCTTAGCCTTATTCAAAACTAACCCAGCTTCCCTAAACATGGCACATCAAGGTAGGTGGTGGCTCCTCATGCGCAGTACATGTCCAAGCCAAGTCAGTCGATGAAGGTTCACAAATGACTTCATCGACTAACTTTGTCCACCTAGTCCTTAGGGTTCAGTTCTGATCAAAGTTTCTCAATCAAGTTTTTAATGTGACCACTCAGGTAAGTGATGCGACATTGAGGTACATCGCGTTTTGAAATTAGATGTAGGGAGTCAATCTGTAAGAGACCCTGTACAACCTAGGTTCACGCTTGTTGACACTCATCACCAAGACGTATCTGCAACTATGAGGAAACTAATATCTAACACCCAGTGATTTAAACCAACGGCTAAGTACTGTTTATCTCTAACATAATATGCTCAGTGGAGCATAAGAATAATGTAGACTGATCAATAGACAAACCGAAACGATTTAGCATAGCAAAGCTAAACCTACTTATGACATTGAGATTATTATTGCACGTTCTTGTTATGACTGTCCCTGTGGCCGTTACTCACACACAGAGGATGCAGCTTAAAATACTCTAATTAGCCATAACCTATGTTATAAAGAATAATTATGAAATAATCTGAGATAGCCACGATTTCGTAGACTGGTGCGATGGATACGAGTTGGTTATTGAGCACCGGCCAGTGACTCACAGGTCACTGCCTTGAATCCTGCCGCGACCTTCGAATTCAACTACCACCCAGAATAATAATTATTACCAAGAGGCAAGAGACGAAGGTAATTAGTTGCCCAGTCGGTTTCTAAAACTAAACATAAGGCTTGACTGATGACCTTCCGGTTGAATTACGTCAAAAGTGTCTTTGCTGAAATGATAACACTGTGAAGATAATATTCAAACCCTCTATGGTGATACTTTATCATAAGAAAGGCATCTCAGAGACACATTACGTAGGACACTTAATAAGGCTGGGGATTCGAGTGGCATTTAAACCTATGGACTCATTTAAAAAGCTGTGCAGGTTTGAAAATCCTGTTGATTCAACCAAGTAAAGGAGTTTCCAATGGTTTTTCAACTGATGTCAGTCCATAATGAATGCTTCCTTCAAAATAAAATTCCTATTAACCTCAAAATACGTTACTGTGTAGTGTTCATTAATGATATCCCCTAAGATGGATATCCTTAAATTCTATCGAGAAGCCATAACCTGTGGAATCAACCAGTCGGAAGTGAAGCGGACGTCAACTACAGACCTTGGGTGGTAGTCGTGCTACATCGCGAATTGACAGGAGTAGGAAACTGTGGACCATTGAACCCCCCACTTAATGGTTGAATGGCCAAAGTCATAAGTTCGACCCCAACCCGCGTTATAGGTGCATACTGCTGAGGGATGCTATACTAGGACGAAACAGCTGTCCAGTGCTCCTACGTTTTCAATGCTTCTCCAACTGATGTCAATTTGAGATGAATGTTGTAGCTGTGCACTGGGGTGAGGACACTCGTCTGTTTGCGCCACAGGACAAGTCTTCGGGTCTCCTGAGAACCAATTTATAATTATCCGTCTAAATGACTGATATATCATTCTGTGAAGTGGAGCTGCGGCCCGTAGACTTAAAGAGTTGTCTTCCAACCAATAGCTCACAGGGTTCGAGCATCGTTCCCCCTACCGGGGTTTGGGCAACCAGGTAGTATCATTAACCGTCACACAATCTGCACGGCTCACTCACTACTTCACAAATGAGTAGACAATTGCTGAGAACATTTCGATTCGATAGACAACCACACTAAGGGGGGAGGCAGAGTGACAACCCTTAAAACTAATTTCGTAGGGGGGGGAGGGGGGAGCGAGATTGATAAACAAATTTCTGCCCATCGAATCAACACCGATTACATGCAACAAGAATGACTTAGAATAAGTCCTAGATACATGGAAATCTCTACCACCTATAGCACAAAAAAGTGAGGAAATTAGGAATACTTAAACAATGTCTCAGGGTATTGGAGTTACCTTGACAGGAATACGCAGATAAACAGACGAACAAAACCAACGTAAAGCCTCGCACACAACTGCATCAGTTCAAGCTGCCACAATTCACAGTAGCATACAAAGAACAAGTGGATAGAAAAAAAGGTGATACCAAAGTATACAAAGGTGTTTGAGAGAAGAAGCAAGCTGAAGATGAGGGTTAGTGCAAATATTCAAGGTTAATGTATCAAAGAGCGTCATTAAGCATACTCAAGCACTCATTTCTAACTTTTGGGTGACCCTAGCTAAACAGTCTGCACCTCTCTCTGCAGGTTAGATCAATAGTCAGAAACTTCATCGACTGGTGCCATATGCTGATCTGGCTAACCTAAACCAACCTCCAAATAAATCCAGCTTCGTTAGCATGCAATGTAGAGGTAAGCTATGGCTCGGCATGCGCAGTACATGCCCAAGCCATCTTAGTCGACTAAGGTTCACAACCTCATCAATCGACTAGCCTTCACCTGACCTCCACACTGCTCAAACGGTGATTCCATCACACCCCATCAATCCTACGGAAACATCTGCGATCAAGAATCTGTAATCGGTTCATGTCTTCTAATTTCAACAGCCATGTCTCACAGACGCATAACAGGACAAAACTAATTGCAATGCAGTATACTCGTTCGTTATTAACAGGAAGTCGGATAACTGACAGGTATATATATATATATATATATATATATATATATATATATGTATATATATATATATAAGTTGTATCCGAAATTCAAATCAACTAAAATACAACTACATCTTATCATATTGCCTACGCCTCGTTCTTATATAAATGGAGAAACTTACTTGTCATCTGGACTCCAGCCACACGTCCAAATTATTCTTGAGTGACTTTGACCTTTCATAGGATAGGCGGATAAAACATAATTTCGAAGTTGAATCTCTACCACTATCTCTTCTTTTTCTTTAGTACTACTCATAGATTGTTCAGACCATAAACTCCAAGTACGATCTCGTGAAACAGCTAAAAGTCGAGTTCCATCATGACTCCATGCCATTTGAGTAACAGTTAACTGATGATGTTGTAAACGCTATGAAATGATAAAATCAAATTATGTCGCAAACAAAATTAAAGTATAATTCTCTTTATCAATACACCGTTCTGTTATGAATTCGTTAAAATTATATAGACCTGGATGCTTATTGGATGGTAGCCGATGAAATAAAATTGAAGTGTACATCAAACATGCATCCTAAAAGTGAATACTTCTCTGAGCTACATTCCTTAATGTTACAGTAGTTATCGAACAAGAGTCATATATGAAACTGATATGTCTAAATGATGGAACGCTTGTGAACAGGAGTAAAGCATTGTTCAAAATATTGAAATTACACTTAGGATCGATAAACTCAAATGTGTCAAGTAAGGAAAAAGTAAAAATTTGAACAATGCAAGAACAAAGACATTTTCAAAATAAAAATGAACTCATTTTATCTCGTAGCCTTTCATCAGCTGTGGACAGCTTTTAAAACGCAGAAATAAATAGACATTTGAAATCCACGATTAACAATAAGGTAGTGACTCAAGGAAACACAGGATTGATAGTTACAAATCTTAGTTAGAATATATTCTTGTTTATATCTGATGAGATGGAAAACTCTGGAGTTGTGTAGTGGAGGAGGGGGACAACAAACGAAAATCAGTGTAGAAGGAGGGACTGTTTAAATGCTAATGGGTTACGTAATTACATGTAAAACTTGAAAGTCATGAAGTGATTAATATTCAGTAAGTAATTAATGAAGATTAATTACAATCTCCTTCAGAGTACATGGGTCATCATGAGACATGGGAAAACATTTATTGATCTACCAAAACATCCACTTATAGAGAAGAAGCCTATTTTCCTTCGCCTTCCATTCAAAGGTGATGACGCATGTAAAAGAATAGACAGAAGAATAAAAGCTGCACTGAGAAGGAGCTGCTCTGCTGCCAGACTCGTCTCAGTTTACAATATTTTATGCTCAATAACACAGTCAAAAGTACGCAAATACCCATCTCACATCACCACCAACTGTGTACATCAATTCACTTGTGTTTGTGAAAGAAAGTACATAGGACGGACTGAACGAAGGGCGTCTACTCAATTTTATGAGCATATTCCGAGAAATCTGTGTCTGAATGGTAGCTAGGTCTTTAAGAGAACAATCGCCAGGCAGGCAGCACTTGATGAAAACAGGACATCAAATAGATGTTTCTCAATCCTTCATGATAATCAACAAACTAAGAATAGCATGCTTATTATGGTTTGCAGAAGCTCTCACTATCAAACATTTTCAACCTGACCCATGTACTCAGAAAAAGACTGTAATCAACCTTTCTTTACCTTGGTAAATGCATATAATTTTCTTTGTATATGTATGTGTATAGTCTTCCCTTTCCTTTTGATTGCATCATCTCTACATTAATTACATACCGAATATGAACCACTTCACGACTTTCAAGTTTTACATGTAATTACGTAACCCATTAGCATTTAAACAGTCCCTCCTTCTACACTGATTTTCGTTTGTTGTCCCCCTCCTCCACTACACAACTCCAGAGTTTTCCATCTCATCAGATATAAACAAGAATATATTCTAACTAAGATTTGTAACTATCAATCCTGTGTTTCCTTGAGTCACTACCTTATTGTTAATCGTGGATTTCAAATGTCTATTTATTTCTGCGTTTTAAAAGCTGTCAACAGCTGATGAAAGGCTACGAGATAAAATGAGCTCATTTTTACTCCGCAAATGTCTTTATTTATTATTAAAACTTGGGCACTAGGGTCGATTGTAATTCCATTGTAGTCTGTTTATTAAAAATATCATACAATGAAATAGTAGCATTTACTGGATAACGTTTCGGACAGAATATGGACAATAAATTATGTCCGAAACGTTATCCAGTAAATGCTACTGTTTCACTGTGTGATATTTCTAATAAAAAGACTAAAATTAAATTGCAATTGTCTTTATTCTTGCATTGTTTAAATGTGTCAAGGGAAGTAAATGTATGAAATTTCTGAAAAGTAAAAATATTTTCACGATAAATTATAAGAATTGAATCAACCACCCTACTGGACATACCATTAAAGCAAATCAGATATTTGATGTAAGATTTAGAAAACTTAACTTCTTTATACAGTAAGTGCTGATGACATTCCCCAACCTGTTGAACAAACGTCCATAAATAAATGACAAAGCTCCGAAAACAGCAAAAACACAATTACAAAGTTGACAGCTTTTACCAACAACTTTGACTTAGTGATTAACTCGTCGATCTTTAGGAGATGAATACTTCCAAGTTGATCAATTTAAAACCTACTTACTTTTTTTAGTGCAAAATGAGCCTGGAAAACTTGATATTATCATTATCAATATCAACAAAGGGACAGGTATTACTGCGTAACGGTTCAAGTTACCACAACTCATATCATCAAGTCAATTAACAAAGCAATAAAACGAAGAAATTGATCGAGGCAGGAAAGAGTAATGAGATAATATTGAATTCAGTATGGTGATTAGGATGAAGATGATGCGTGGATGCATCTACACCACCCACATCAACTCCGAGCCGTATCGCCTACTCTGCAACCAATGGATTCTGCTGTTACGCGGATCCCAACAGGCTAGTCTACATCCCCCTATATGGCTCAGTCAAAAATGCCATGTTTTATTCCGACCACCCCGAGCCTTTTTCCAGCCTGAACTTACTTCAGTCAACATTATGTGACAAAGCAGACGGTGCTGACTATGCAAGCTTAACACATTTCTTAGCCATCTCAATAGACGAATGTTCGTAACCTCATCAACTGACTTTCCTCTTCTCCATAAAACTCTACTCCTGACATTAGCGTTACTCACGTGGTGACGCAACGACACACCGCCTACGCAAAGAAGGCAACGGTAGTCAAACACCTGAAGTTTTCTTCATGTTCTCCACCTTTAATGACCACGTTTCACAGCCACCTTGCAGTTATGTGTCAACACTGACCACTCACATGTAACGTAAAAGTATTACAAAAGAAACGATATTATATATATATATATATATATATATATATATATATATATATATATATATATATATATATATATATATATATATATATATAATTTATAACAGATGCTGAAATTTTCTACAATACTCTTTAGTCGATTTGAAACTCACGTGGTGTTTCGTGAATGTTCGGCATATCATGATTAACTGTGAAAGCATTTCAGGAAATTCCAAGTTTGCTTGAGGAATCTAGGGGATATTGTCTCGCCTCATAACACTTATGAACAACACCCTCCTCCTCTACCCAACTGCCTAACGTAGTATGATGATAATAGGAATAATAAAGAACAAAATCTAGAATAGCACAGTACTGTATCATTCTCACCCATTCCATTTACTGTTCAATATTCTTCGAATTGAAGAATGAGATTCCTCTTAAAGACTAGTACATTCAACTGAATACTAGGCAGTCGAGTCAGTTAATTTTCGATAATGTACAAAAGTGCTATGAGTTCGTAATTAAACAAAGTATCTTATTTATCTTGAAAAAAGAATTAGCTTAACTGCCCCAGATACAACTATGATGCAACCCACTGCAGTTTTTTTTCAAAATGAAAATGTTCGAAATAGAAATTGAGTCCATTGGCAGCAAAAAAAGGTTATAGTGTCTTGAAAGTATCATCAATCTATAGTAGACGGTGTCTACAGAAATTGAATCATGACGTTAACTTTTGAAATGATGAAAACGATTTGTAGCTCATGATGAGGATGATGATGGTTGGGTGTTCACTGAACTTTGATACTTTTTCGTTAACGTTTCACCACTCATGAGGAAAAATACGATGCCGAACATAAAACGGTACTAATACAAATTTCGACTGGATACTTTCAATACATCTGAATCATAAAATTTGATACCTATATATTTGAAGTTTTACAACAAACCTTACTTGATGAATGCACCAATTCAAGTCACCATTCCATAGTATGATATGAGCATATTCTGGTTTCGATGCTGTACAAGCAGAAGCAACAAGGAGTTTATGAGGATGAACTGCTAAACAATATATCTGAAAGTAAATGAAAAAAAATATGATACAGATTTATCTTACGAGAAAAAGTATAAATACTTAGAGGATTATCTCTAGAGACGGATTGTAGCCTACCTGTTAACCGTTTGCTTAACCGCTAAACGCACCCAAAGCCACCATCTACTTATTCGTGTACATGCCAAATACTAAGGCCGGTTGGCTTGATTTTGACATCTTATCTTTGATAATGAATCAGGTGAAGGCTACACCCAGTCACTGACCTACACAACCACCATCACCACCACCCCCCTTCCACACACACACACACACACACAACTGATTCTCAATGAAAAACCAGTAAAGTAACGTGAAATATGTTCTTAGAAAATGGAAGGCAAGAGTAAGAAGGTGTAAATATTTCCTGATATAGATCAAAGTACATTTATCGGTAATGTGCTCTATGGTCTAGTTGAACTAAAGAAGAAAATTATACAGTTTTGTTGAAGGTTATTTCAAAGAATAAATACCAGTAGAACTTAAAGCAATGTCAGAGAATATATGAAGTGATTATAATCGCTATGTGAAGATTATGTGGACGGGAGAGATATAATATCCACTACAAACCTAGAGAGAAAAAAGAGTACATACTGTGATGTCTACTTTACTGTAAAAGCTGATAATTTTATGCGTACCGATTGTAACTTTAAAGTGAACCATCTCCACCGCTGCAATGAAATTCTCTCCATAGTGAATTGAACTACACCCTTCGAAATAGGATTTTAAGATCTGAGCAAACACTATAATCCAATATTATTAGTAAGTTCATGTGTCGGATAAAACTGAATGACTGAAAAAATCAACGAGGAACCTCGCACACAGCTCCATTGGCTCAAGTTGCCACACTTCACACTAGTACACAAAGAACAAGAGGATAGACAAGGAGTGATGTTCGAGAAAATAAAGATCAGTGTAAATGTTCAAGCTTTAGAAGGTATCAATGAGTGAATACATCTACGCTGATTGTCGATCATGTCACCAAGAGTCTTAAACCAATGATTCCTATTGTCTCAGGCATGTCAACCACTCTACACCTTCCCATGCGGCTCAGACCAAGGGTAAGAGTTTTCATCGATTAATGTCAGGTCCTGGTTTCGACACCTTAAACCCTCTCCCATCGTATTCCAACTTCCCCAGCACGACACACCGAGATAGGCTGTGACTCAGCATGCACAGTACATTTTCGAGCTACCTTAGCCGACGAAGGCCCGAAATCTCGTCAATCGGCTTGCCTGTCTTACCTAGTTCCCTTGGCCTGGCCTCCAAAGTGCTCACATGGTGATTCAACTAAACGCGAGTAACTCTACGAAGACATCTGTGATCAAAGCATTTTAGTCGCTTCATGTCTTCTACTTTTAGCGGTTATGTGTCTGCCGAATAACAGGACAGAAAGGACTGCAGAGCAGTATACTCATCCCTTAATAGATAACCAGATATCTCACCAATCGGCGCCACAAGTGACGCAAGTTGGGGAATACAAAATGGACCTTGTATACCTGAGCTCAGATTTCGTCACCAACCAGCCCATCCCTCGGAATAAAAATCAACAAAACACCCATTTAATTATAATTCATTTACCACATTCTTAGAATTTATTTGTTGAACAAAATGACTAGATAACGAATGCTGAAATTGACCAAAAGGCTTTGAAAGAAAAGATTAAATCACTTGATGAGATTATGAATTTAAACGGTTGAGGAATATAAAGTGTAAATATGACAATCTACTATCAGAGAGACAAAAGAATAATAAAGCGAAAGCTATGCATGCCAGATGAAGCTATGACAACGGTCAGTCAATTCAAAACACGAAATTATAAGTTTCCTAAAAATATGATAAGGACCACATGGGAAAAGTAATTTAAGTTCATTCGTGATATAACTTACAATCGATTACACTGGCCTAGTTTTGCTTCAACAGTAAAGTAGTAGAGCAATTGGCACCGGTTTAGGTTCAGGATCACCAACCCAAGAGGTGGAATTAGTGCATGAAGTCTTTGACTGCCCATCTGAACCATGTAGAGAGGTGCTGTTGTGATGTCCCAGTTTTGTATAAAACATTGTTATTGATCTGAACATTTTAACGTGTCATTTCCACACCATTTTTATGGTATGACTAATAGTCTGCCTCCATTGTAATGTAATTCGCTGATTGGTTAATTTTTACTCTTAATATGCGAATTTCTCCAATTGCGGACAAGGTGTTTTCATGTGTATACCTATTCACGTGTTTTGGATTGATCCATTATTATTTTATATTCTCGGAGTAATACACTCTCCCATCTGCCAGCTTCGGTCTTCTCCCTATTTGTCCCGGGGTTGAAGTCAGTGTCTCTTGCGTACCAAGTTAGCTGTCAGCTAAGCGCGCGTATTATATTCTTTCCGGAATATATATATATATATATATATATATATATATATATATATATATATATATATATATATATATATATATATATATATATATATATATACAAAACTATTAGCGCTTCGAAACCATAACAGGTGCAGACTATTTTCTTGGAGTCCTCAATACGATAGGAGTCAGTGGTCGAAAAGGCTTGGTGAAATGGCTCAGAATAGGTCAGAATGGCCCAAATAAATTCACTCTTTAAAGTCTTCTTCAGATTGCATCTTTCTTTGTGTACTCAGTCTCTTTCTGTCCACTTGTTCTCTGAACGCTACTGAGAATTGTAGCAACTTGAACTGATACAGTTGTGTGCAAGGTTCTAGGTTGATTTTGTCTGACTATCAATCTGATCGACGTTTGAGCAGTCAGATAGTATTACTAGCCCTCACATAATAGGTATGGATCATCATCTGCTTGTATATGCACAAGGTGACAGAGTGAATTCTAGTCGATTCGAACAGTAAAATACTAGATTGTTGTCGTTTTATGAGGTCAGTGATGTTTACTAACTTCTACAACATTTTCAATTTGACAGTATTTTAAATTCTTGTATTTTCTGTCACTCAATTTGTTTCGCTATCTAGAATTGATATGAACTGCACTGATGTCGACAATGCATATCATTCTATTTTGACTCATTAAGTCAGTCTGCCAATCAGATGCTGTGACAGTTTCCATTCCAGTTAATTAATTAGAAGTGCCACACAATGGAACAGCATCATTTACTCGATTACGTTTCGGGTACTGTTCATAGTTATATCAAGATAACTACACAACGTTGAGACATGATTTCGATAGTTGTTATACTTGATCGAATTGCCCAGACAGTGTAAAGTGTCCGCCATGCCACAGTGGATAACGCTTTGGCATTTGAAGAGATGAATACTGGGTTCAAGTCTCAGTGGAAGTAGCATCACTCATCTGAATGCAAGTCCATTCAGCTGACGAGTCCTAAGTAGGACGAAACACATCCTGGATCCCATTGATAAGCCTGAAGTAGACTACGAAAATTCGTTTTTGTTAAAAGATCTAGGCAATCGAACTCAACCAGTGGGTCGTGAGTTTGAGACCTACTCCACTTATCGACGTTTGGACAGCTAGTTAGTAGCACTAAACCTTGTAAAACGTGCTATTGGACCCCCGCTACAGAGACGTACAAATAGTTTCTGAATGTATTTCGACTCATTTTACCCTTTCCAATACACTCAGCAATAATAACTATCTCATATTTTTATAATGTCACTGGCCACTTGTTGCATCCTTGTAGTGAATAGTTGATATAACCCGAATTATATATACGTATATATATATATATATATATATATATATATATGTATATATATATATATATATATGGACGCATGTACAATAACCTTAAGATCCAACCCCCTTCATGATCGTTCAATTTGGATGTCTTTAAAGGCCACCCCAACAACTGCCAAGATAACTTTTCGAAGAAGAGAAAAACATGATTGGTTGTTTCATCAGTTGCTAGGGCGGTCTTTAAAATCGTCCTTTAAAGTCACCCCAAAATACAAGGGTTAAAATATGCTTACGATGGTCCTGGCTGTTCAAGCCCTTCTAAATTTTAATCGCATTGATTTTCCATCTCTTCAACCAACTTGAAACTTAAAGGTTGCCTCCAGAGCTTCTTCCTGAAACTTCGAGACAAAACGATTGGTTGTAAAAGGCTTCATAGAAATACGGCTTCATATAAAGATATTTTCAGACTTTCTGCACACCATAACACATTCATACGTACTTTTTAGTAAGGCTCGGTTGTCTTTTGCCAACTCACGCCACCTATGGCGCCACCGTGACATCCGATTGTCTGTTGAGGGTCATATGTACTGCACAGCAGTCCGGTCTGTTCTACTGTGTGGCTGCGAAACATGGCCATTGAAGGTGAAAGACATGAGAAGGCTTCAAATGTTTGACCACCATTGCCTACCTTCATAGTATAGGCCGTTTTGCATGGTGTCACCACATGAGTGAGGCAGAAGTCAGGAGTAGAGTTTTAGGGAGAAGAGGTAAATCAATTGACACGATTGTGAACTTTCATTGACTGAGATGGTTGGGACGTGTGTTACGTATGCCCAGTCTACCTTGTCACACAGTGTTGAGCGAAGTAGGTTCAGGCTGGAGAAGGGGCCGAGGCGGCCAGACTAAAACATGGCATCAATGTATGAAGTGTTTGAATGTTAGTTTGAGCCATGTTGGACTATGCAGACCGGGTGGTTGGGGTCCGTGGGACAGGAGAAATCAGTGGCAGATGCGTGCACATATTATCTTCATCTTAACCGCTATACTTAATCTCGATATCTTCTTATTCTTCTTTCTTCCTTTTTCACTACTTTCTACTTCTACTTCCTTTGACCGATTTTTCCTTCCTTCTTCATCTTCCATTGCCTGCTAACATGATGTGCTGATATGAGATATGACAACTCAGACCATTACGGAGTAATGCCTGGTCCTATGTTGATCTTGATGATGATGATGACTTTTTTGTAACATTTATGGCAATTATGGATATTGAGAAGACTATATATACCTCTAATTCAATAAACATTCGACTAATTCCGTCGATTAACAGGAAATTTCACCTCAGTTTCAAAGGTATGAAAAACGAGAGAAAAAAGGTAACTTAACAACTACGTACATGTTAGTGCTATTGTTTGTATTACGCCTTCGTTGATTGTACCAAATGGGTCAGTCTCCATTGGCGTATGGGCTCCTGCTGTGGATCCCTCGATATTGCCCGTTTTTAATGATATAGTAATGATGCATAGTGGCTAGCAGTGGAATCCAGGATGCACATTTCGTCCTATTTGGAATTCATTAGCTGGATGTACCCATTATTACTACACATAATTAAGACACAGGCAATGTCGAGACGTCCACGCAGGAGCCCATATATCTATCGAGAACAACCAGTTCGGTCCAACCGACGACGGAATGATACAAGCAAAAACACTAGAACCATATCTGTCGCACAACAAGTGGCTATCGTGGCTCAGAGGTCTAGTTGACAACGCTCTGGTATTTGAAGCGATCGGCTCCGGGTTCGAATCCCGGTTGGAACATCACTCACTGGGAGGCAGGTACATCCAGCTGACGAGTCCCAAATATAACGAAATGTGCATTCAGGATTCCACTGCTAGCCACTATCCATCATTACATACATGTTAATCCACTAATACCACGTAACTGGTTAAATCTCGGTAGGTGAGATGAGATTCAGATCTAAGGACCCACTGACCTTCTAAATCACAGTAAGCTACAACTTCATATATTCTTTTGAATAGGCAGACAATTAAATCTCTGCATTAAACAATGTTTAATCTCAAAGTACAAAATGTATTCCACCTTACCTCATAGGGATGACCATACAACTTTTTGACTTCTGGCCATAGTGTTGCATGTTGTAATCGATCTTCTGTAGGAAGTTCATCAGATGGACACTAAAATCCAAAAACAGAGACAATAGTAACTTATCACTGAAGAACAGTGTGTAATCGAACCCCAAATTCAATCAAGTTTCCATATCATCAGTATATAAGATATTCAATTGATGATTAACTACCACAGTGGATCTTCGGTTCAGCGGTTTAGTGAGATGATTATAAACCACTGGGTCATGGGTCCGAGCCCTAACCCACCTACCGAGGTTTGGGCAACCAGGTAGTATCATCAATAGCCGTCACACAATGTGACTTAGTGCCTACTGCATAGATGTGCACAAGATGGCTGGGTGCATAATATTCCATTACAACTACCACAATAGTACACTAGTTATTTGTTAAGCGGTTACATCCCATTCATAGGACAGAAATGCTTCATAGTAATTCAGACATTAATGAAAGAAAAACTAAGAAGTTGAAAGCTAGGTGTCATTTTTCAGGATATGCAATCAAATCAGGTTTTGCACTAAAAGACATCATATATATATATATATATATATATATATATATATATATATATATATATATATATATATATATATATATATATATATATATATATAAGGAAACTATACACTTGATGAAATTTATAAACAGCTAAAATTCTCTCTAGCAGCCAAAAATCTAACTAATCAGGCTTTTTTTATTTCAGGTGAAGTGGCATGTTTTTATAAAAATAAATGAAACCTAATTGGTTATTTTATTAGCTCCTAGAGTGATCTGTAAAGTCACTCTTCTCCCTTAAGCCACTGAATAGTGAATCGATTATTATATGAATAGGCTACCCAGAGTTGCTTTGGTTTTCAAAAGGTTCACCTAAATAAAAGATATCAGATTAACAAAAGAATAACTATCCGCATCAGGCTGTCAGATCTTGGCATCGGTCTAAGCCCACTGCATGCATTTAAATTATCGAGCCAAACGACTAAACAGCTGGTATCTCAAGCGAAAGTAACATGTTAATATATCTATGACAATTATGTGTGCTATCAGACTATTCGAAATATGTTGGGCTAAAACATTGCACATCTTGTCATTATTTTGTCAACGGAATCTATTTTATTTTGATTGATTGGGTCTTGCGTACTACTGGAAGTGTGTGGGTGGTTGACACTTTCCGCCTGCTTACACCACGAAAGGCTGTTTCTTTCTGAGGTACCTGAAAAAGAAGGGATAGTGTGTGACTCTATAGTTCATGGGTTATCTGCTTGAGGCCGGACATACACGGCCTTTTTGAGGTTTCGGTATTTTGCTTTTGATCCTAACTACGAATACCTGTCAGGCATCGGCACGCCGCGAGGGTCAGGTCGATATTTTCTAACCCTCCCTTTCCACACGGAAGTCAGCGTCGGCGTGACACTGTTGATCATCCAAGGGAAACATCTTACTGCTGTCACACCTCCACCCAGTCACCAGTACGATTTCGTCTTCAAACCCCTACCACAGCATAGTAATTTACACGATTACGGTAACTGCTTTTCGTCTAACCACCATCCAACAGACGTTTCTGGTATGGTAGGACCTCGAGAGAACAAGCTTTCCACAAGCATAGCTAGAAGCTAATTAGACGATGATCAACACCTAGAATAACACAGAATTGACCAAGTGACCATAACAATGTTCAATAGTGAAGTTTGTCTAGTAAGTGTTGCGCAACTTCAGCATTTAGTTGATCCAATGAATAAATGGTGAGCAAAAAATAATAAAATATGCTAGTTGAAAATATTTAGCTTAAAGCAATATAACACCGCCAAAAACAAAACATTCAAGTGAAAAAGATAAACTTACATCTCCACTGATATCTTCATTCTTCTCATTAATGACATATTCATCATTATTATCGCTCCCGTCCTCATTATTAGCCTTGTTATTGTTAGATGACAAAGTGACAATTTGATTCGAAAGACCGAGTGGTGGTTGTACAGCACCTGAAATAACATTAGTTACAGACTGATGAATACTAGTTCAATCGACAAAGTGCAATTTAGCGACAAAGTACGTTTTCATGATCCAGACTAATAAGTAGGTAGAAAGGGGTTCGAAGGCACGACTCTCTAGTTGAGAGTCAAGCGTGTAAACCAATAAACTATAGCTCAACAAACTGAAAAACACTACTAGTGTATAGTACATTTTGGTAAATTATGACTATGTCTTGAATGTTTGCTATAACCTTTGCATCCATCTTTTTTCACTGATTGGTGAAGGGCCAAAATCTAAGATCACTTATAAATAAAGCGCGACATCTTGAAAACGCTAACTTTCAAATCCTTTTCTTTTTAATGATTCCAACTGATACAATTAGGTCTTATTGACTTCAGCTTGAATAATGCATAAACAAAAAAGCAGCTCAACTAAGTTGTCACATTTGTGAATTATTATTGTTTTTTCCCTTGGGTTCCTAGTGGAACATCGGGCTTCAGTAGCACGTCGCCATTTCACTCCGTTCTCTTCAGTTTTCTTAACTTGGTTCCACGACTGCTCACAAGCTGTTATTTTTTCCTCACATGATTTCCTCTATATCACCCTCAGCTAGGACGCTCAAATGGTAGTTTCCCATTCGGCTTCCACTCGATGACCTGACCTGGCGCGTGATGTCCCCAATGGTCTTCTCAGTGTATGTCCAATCCAATCCATCTCCACTTTCTTCTGAATATTTGTTGGGCGATAGGTTCTTGTTTGGTTTGTTGACAAGCCAGAGTTCCTTGTCGGTTATTCTTTCTGGCAATCTGGTCTTCAGTATCGAGCGTAGGCAGCTGCAGATGAATGTCTGTAGTTTGTTGGAAGTGCTTTTCGTGACATGCCAAGTCTCTGAACCGTCACACAGAAGCACTGACTTGACTGACATTAGTGTTTAAAATCCGGACCTTGTTCACGCTTTGTGCTGAGAGCAGATCTCCACACTGATTTCAGGTTAATGAAAGTCTGTCTTTATCTGTTTCTGAACCTAGCTTTGGCATCCTCATCTTTGCCACCTGCAGTTGAAACGATGCTGCTTTGCCTAGGTAGGTGAAAGAGACTACTTCCTTTAGGTTTCTCCCGTTGATGGTGATTGGCGCTTGTTGTTGGTTAGATGTCTTCATCACCTCCATCTTCTCTATATTCACTTGAAGTCCCGTTTTCTCTGCCTCTTCTGTCAACTCGTTGATTTCTACCCATAGATCCTTGAGCTTGTGCGACATTAGACATAAATCATCATTGTTGGCGAAATCCAAGTCGTCTATGGTCTTTTCATATGCCCATCTTCTCGCTCCTCACGGTTTGCTGAATGATCCAGACCACCACAATCAGGAAGATCATTGTTATAGTAGGCAGCCTTATCTTACTCCTGTCCCCCGTCTTCACTTCAAAGGCATCACTGAGCTTTCCATTGTGAATCACTTGACATGCGGCGTCTTCATATAGCTGGTAGATGAGGTGGATAAAGATTTGCGGCACTCCGTAGTGTTGAAGCAGCTGCTTTCCAAATTACTTCTCGGTCGACGCACATTTGTGAATACTCATCATTAATATCAATACAGGACTAAGTATTACTTCGTAACAATCTAAGTTGCTACAACTCACAAAAGCACATCAAGTAACAAAACAATAAATTAAGATTATATAAATGAAGAACAAATAGCAAAATCGGTTAAAAGCAGCAGAAGGCAACAAAATAAAGGAAGGTGAAATGAGAAAACGCTGAATTCAGTATAGTAATTAGGATGAAGGTCATGTTTACTGGTTGCATCTGAGCCAATGACATCAATTCTCAGACATATCACATCCAGTCTGTAACCACTGGTTTCGGTTGTCAATATCGACCCCCAACCAGTTAGTCATCACCTTGCTGCATGGTTCAGACTAACAATCAGGGACTTAAGTGTAAAACTTGAGCACTTTGGTAGGATATAGTTCTAATATACAGCACAGCAATATAGTATTACTTACTTGACAACTTTTCTAGCACAAATTGTTGTTCATGATCTTGTCATCTAATATTCTTTGTTTTTATTGGTGGTAAAGTTTTCCACAAGTCTGATATATGTGTTGCATCATTCCTATTACATGTGTTGCGTGTTGGTTGATTCAATGAACAAAGATTCAGTAATCAGCTTCTCCCTCTCTCCACCTAATTATATTCGATTTAAGTATAGTGGGTTTATCCCACCTATCCTATTATGTGGTTGTGTTAATCCATCCATTGCGATAGCGAGTTTCTCTAGATTATTGATCTTAATAGGGCCTGTCATTCTATATTCAGCTAAATTTCTATGTTCCCCTAATCTAGCTGACTCCGGCCGGCTAGTTTGACCTATGTAATTCACTTCGCAGTCATTACATGGAATTATTTAGATTAGATTATTTTGCTTAATTGGTTCTTTCGGATCCTTAAGCTAGCCGACAAAGTTTATCTCTGAGTGAGTTTGTAAGTTTAAATGCCATCCTAATTCCAGCTTTGTTGAGAATCGTGAGGTTTCACGATTCAACCACCCAGTTGAGAGAACACAACACAACCAAGAAAATTTAGATTGTTTTATGTACGTATAAATTAGACAAAGTTAAAAAATATCATATTCCACACGATCGTTCCAAAGGTAATTGACAAGTTGACGTTTTTCTACATGTTTTGCATCGACTAAATTCGGAGAAATCGGTAATGAAGAACGTACACTTTCATAGGTTAGTATTACTGGCTAAGTCTTAATACTAGGCTATTACCCTGACTCTAACTCCCTAAACCTAAACACTTAAGGAGACTAACATTTACCTCTATAGGCGGTGAAATGGCATCAAAAGAAAACTTGTCAGCAATCTATTAAATAATAAAATTTGAAAACGGAGATACCTAATAGGAACAATAAAAACCTCCAACGCTTTCAACACTCAAAAATCAGCAAATAATACCCCCTACCCTTGCTCCTGACTAGCGGTTTCAAGGAAACTATGCATTTTCAAATATACAGCCTTAATGCATTCAACAAATGGAACTTCACTGTCAAACAAAGAAATTCAGCCACTAATAAATTTTGATTACCACTATTTTCAGGTTTCATCTGTCATTCAAACATGCATGGACAGTTTATTTATTATTTATTTATAATTTGAGCTAGAATTCAAATAAAGTTACGCAGGACCAGATGGACTTCCTCCGAAAGCACTGAAAACAGGCGCAGAGACATCAGCAGCAGACATGCTCACACCTCTATTGCAGAAGGTTTGGAAGGAAGGATAGATACCTGCCTGTGGATTAGAAGAAGGGCTACTTTATCAAACTTCCAAAGAAGAGTGACCTAAGTCTTTGCAAGAACTGGCGCGGAATTATGCTCCTATCCCTGTCCACACCAAGCAAAATATTAGGCCGCATCACACTGGAGAGATTAAAAGGTACGCTGGATTCAAAATTAAAACCGCAACAGGCTGGCCGGCTTGAGGAAAAACAAATCATGTGTGGATCGAATTACAACGCTACGCCATGCATCATCATAGAACAGAGCAAAGAATGCCAGTCAACTGAATCTTTATCTCAACTTCACCGATTTTAAAAAGGTCTTCGACAGCGTCAACCGCGAAGTAATTTGGAAAGCAGCTACTTTAACACTACAGCTTTAGTGCCACAAACCTTTATCAACCTCATTCAACAACTATATGAAGACGCCACATGCCAAGTGATTCATAATGGAAAGCTCAGTGACACCTTTGAAGTGCAGACAGGAGTAAAACGCGGTTGCCACTGACTACCAGCGATGATTTTCCTGATTGTGGTCGAGTAGATCATGCAACAAACTGTGAGGAGCGAGAAGAGGGACATACCACGACTGGACCAATGAAAAGACCCCACAAGAAGATCTGAATTTCACCAATCACCATTTACCTCTAATGTCTTGTCGCACAAAATACAACATCTACAGGCGAAAACTAACAAGTTGACAGAAGAGGTGAGGCAACGAAGACAGGACTTCCTTCAAGTAAACGTAGAGGAGACAGAGGTGATGAAGATACCCAACCAACAATAACAACAACAAAATGCACCAGTCAACATCAATCAGAGAAATCTAAGGAAGTTGTCTATTTCACCCACCTAGGCAAAGCAGCATCGTCCCAACTATAGGCGGCACAGGCACAGATGAGGATGTCAGAGCCAGGGTCACAAAGACAGCAAGACAGGTCTGCCTTCATTAGTCTGAAATCAGTCTGGAGATCTACTGCATTGCACTGCACAGTACTGCAGTCAGCATAAAGCGTGAACAATATCCGGATTCTAAACACTAATGTCAGTCAAGTCGGTGCTTCTATGTGACGGTTCAGAGACTCGGCGCTCTACGAAAAGCATTTCCAACAAACTGCAGATAAACATCAACAGCTGCCACCTACGCTAGCTCACTCAATACTGAAGATCAGATCAGATAGCCAGAATAATAAGAATAACCAACAACGAACTCTGGCTTGTCAACAAACCAAACAAGAACCTATCGCCCAACAAATATTCAGAAGAAAGTGGAAATGGATTGGATCGGACATACAGTGAGAAGACCATTGGGGACATCACGCACCAGGTCAGGTCATCGAATGGAAGCCGAATGGGAAACTACCATTTGAGCGTCCTAGCTGAGGGTGATATAGAGGAAATCATGTGAGGAAAAAATAACAGCTTGTGAGCAGTCGTGGAGCCAAGTTAAAAAAACTGAAGAGAACAGAGTGAAATGGCGACGTGCTACTGAAGCCCGATGTTCCACTAGGAACCGAAAGGATAAATAATAATAATAAATAACTTAGGTTGTATGCTGCATATAAGCACAGTGTGCCCGTTATCATTTTACGTGTTACCTATTACTATTTTCAAAATTCTTAGATTACTCTGTGATGGTGTTGTGTTCTCTGAGCTGGATGGTTAAATCGTGGAGCTTTCATTTTCCTTTTGGACAATATCATCAGCACAAACTTCTGTTGTTGCTGTAAAATATTTTTTATTGGTTAACAAAACTACTGAGTGTAATAATTTTGCTGACTTGAAGGCAAACTAATTTACGTTGTCTATTTCTGAGTGCTGGTTGAAATTCTACCCATCATGAAACCTAGGTTGTTCAAGGGTAGTTAGAAACCACCCCCGCTGATCTTTATGCCGATCTATGCAAGTGAGACAGTGAAATTCAGATGGTCTGAACTAATTCGGTGCTATGAGCTGAATATGTCCGGGCATACCTTTGATGAGCTCTCCTTAAAACAAGCAAAACGGCTGTCCGGTGTTTAGATCACTCTGATCTAGCTGGCGAAATACTACAGATCAATCTGAGTGGTTTCCAACTATTTAGTTTGTTCACTAGTAGTATCCTTCGCTGGTCACCATTTGTTTTGTATTTTTCACAGTTTCTTCCAAGTTGTCACGAGCTACTGACAAAGTAATCTGCTAAATTTTAACTATTTCTATGAAATTACTATTTATTGACATACTTGTTATTCTCCACCGTTTTGTTGGATCGAATTGTTCGACTCTTATTGGCATATGGGCTCCTATGCGGATGCCTCGATATTACCTGAATGTTAATCATGATAATTTGGTTGGTTGTGGCTAGCAGAAGAATCCAAGACGCGCGTTTCATCCTATTTGGAACTCGTCAGCTGGATTCTTCTGCTAACCACAACCAAACAAATTATTTCTATGAAACTTTAAAATCCTAGTCCTTCAAGAAATAGTAAAACACTCTGTAGTACACAACTTACCAGTCGGTATAGAACTATCGGCAAGAATGCGATCCAATTTCGTGCGGATAGATGACGAAGAATGATACAGTCGTTTAAATGAATTCATAAAGGCTTTTGTAGTTGTAAATACACGGACAACTTTTTCATCACCAGCTGATACATATAGAGTAGGTGAAATACTCTCGATTGCATTCATATCATAACCATGAATTTGTGGTCTAGCTAATTCATGCCAAAACTCTGAAAATGATCCCGAGAAAGATTCAATTATATGATGAATGGGATTAATTAGGAGGTAACAACAACAACCTATTACTTACGACAAAAACTTATTATCTATGATAATATTTCTTACAAGAGTATCATTTTTGGTAAACTAACAGTGAAGACATCAAAGTCACAAAATAAGCTAATATAATATTTAATTGAATAGTGGGAGCTACTGAAAGCTCACAGAGAACAATCAGTTGAAAGTTGAATCATCCAAGTTGAAATGTTGTATATAGTAAACATTTGTTTCCAAAGTAAATTTATTGTTGAATGCATTCACATAGATTAAGTTCGGATCATATTCAGTGACTTCTAGGAAGAGATCAACACACATGAAATCAATAAAAGATGATGAAGGAAATTTAATTACGAAAGAAAAGAAACAAAGGAAACGATGGGTCGACCACTTCAAAAAACTTTTGAATCGACCACCACCACCACCGGCACTTCGTCCAGAAATACCACCTGCAGCCCAGCCACAGAACTACAAGTGAACATAAATCCTCCAACAAAAGTCGAAGTCCTGAATGCCATAGAGCTACTGAAATGCGAGAAAGCAGCAGGACCAGATGGGATCCCACCAGAAGCACTGAGAGCAGACTCACAGACAACAGTGGACATGCTCACACCACACCACTATTGCAGAAAGACTGGAAGGAAGGGAAGGTACCTGCCCACTGATTGGAAGAAGGACTACCTTGTCAAACTCCCGAAGAAGGGAGACCTAAGTTTTTGCAAGAACTGGCGCGGAATCACTCTCCTGTCCACTCTATGCGAAATCTTAAGCCGCGACATCTCGAAGAGACTGCGCTGGATTCAAAACTAAGACCGCAGCAGGCTGGCTGGATTCAGGAAGTACAAATCATGTGCCGACCAAATTGCAACGCTACCCCACGCATCATCATAGAACAGAGTATAGAATGCCAGTCAACTCTCTACCTCAACTTTATCGACTTTGAAAAGGCCTTTGACAGCATCGACCGACAAGTAATTTGGCAGGCAGCTGCTTCAACACTACAGCTTTAGTGCCACAAACCTTTATCAATCTCATTCAACAACTAAATGAAGACTCCACATGCCGGCCAAGTAATTCACAATGGGAAGCTCAGTGATGATTTTGAAGTGAAGACAGGAGTGAAACAAGGTTGCCTACTGTCCCCCATGATATTCCTGATTGTGGTGAACTGACTGGATCATGCAACAAACAGTGAGGAGCGAGAAGAGGGGGATACGCTGGCTGGACCGCGGAAAATAACCTAGAAGATTTGGATTTCGCCAATGGTGCCTTGTGTCTAATGTCGCACAAACTTGAAGGTCTACAGGCGAAAACTAACAAGTTGACAGAAGAGGTAGGGCAGCGAAGACGGGACTTCAATTGGACGTAGAGAAGACAGAGGTGATGAAGATAACGCAACAACAACAACAACAACAACAACAAACTCCAATCACCATCAACAGGAGAAACGTAAAGGAAGTAGCCTCTTTCACCTATCTAGACAGCACTGTCTCAACTACAGGCGGCACAGACGAGGATGTTTAAGTCAGAATCGGAAAGACAGCAAGACAGGCGTTCATTAGCCTGAAACCAGTGTGAAGATCTTCTGCACTCAGCACAAAGCGTGAACAAGATGCGGATTTTCAACATCAACGTCAAGTCAGTGCTTCTGTATGGCTCAGAGACTTGGCGCGTTACGAAAGACATTCCCAACAAACTACAGACATTCATCAACAACAACTGCCTACACTGGCTCGTTACTGAAGATCAGATGGCCGAAACAATAAGCAACAAGAAACTCTGGCAACGAACCAACCAAGAACATATCGCCCAACAAATATGCAGAAGGAAGTGAAGATGAACTGGATTGGGCATACACTGGGAAGGCTGACTGGGGACATCACGCTTCAGGCCCTGAAGTGAAACTCAGATGGGAAACAACGAGTTGGGCGTTGGAGGTGAGTGTGACATAGAGATCGTGCGAGCAGGAAATGAGAGCTTGTGGGTAGTCGTGGAGCCAAGGTTCAAAAGATTTCAGAGAACAGAGTGCACTGGAGACGTGCTACTGAAGCCCTATGTTCCATTAGGAACCCAAGGGACAAATAAATAAATGCCGATAAACCGCCTACCTCGACGTGTCATGCTGGGTGGAAGTTGGATTAGTTTGGAAGAGAGATCAAGGTGGCCAGATCAAGATGTGGCAGAAATCAATGGAGTCCCTGAATCTCGGTCTGAGCCTTGTTGGAAGGTGTAGACTACCTGAATGGGGTCCCCGAAACAATAGGGATGACTGGTTGAGAACTCTTGGTGACATCTTTTAAAATTGGTCATAGCGACGTAGTTGTATTCATAATTTGATGTCTTCGAAAGCTTGAATATTCGCACCAATCATTATTTTCGAACTATTTATTCTCTTACATAACTTTGTCCACTTTGAATACTATTTTGAAGTGTGGTAACTTGAACTGATGCACTTGTGTGCGAGGTTCTACGTTGATTTTCGTCGTCTAATTTCAGTAACATGACATAATATACTCGGTCCCGATTAGACAGATTTCCATAGAAGATGCAGATTGTGCAATTTACAAAGTTATTAGTCATTTTCAGGCATCACCAGCTATCATAGGTGATTAGTTTAATTGAAATGGTCTGTTAATCTGACTTCATTTGAATTTAGTCAACTGACAGATCGTTCCTTGATAGCCCATATTTCCTTACACAACTCAAATCAAAAAAGATCTCATAATTTTAATTTAGTGGCTTTTAGCTTCCTTCCTGTTCCACCGAATATAAAAGGTCAGAATAAATGGTGGAAAGGTGTGTGAGAGACACATATTCCAGTTAACTTAGTTGGTAGAAGTTTACAACCAACCAAATTTCAATAGAATACCTATCTCAACATCTTTTAGTACTAACTCTCCTAACAAACTGATGACCTTAAAGGTGATCAACTGACATTTCACTTATTGGTTGTTGCAGAGAAAACATTTTCTAATTCCACTTTCAAAATCCTATAGTGAAGGTTGGATGTTGTGCAACAACACTACCTTGTTTCCATGAAGTTGGAATCCCAGCTGAACCAATGAATCCTACACCTGCTATATCAACCCCTACAGTCGACGGAATTACAAACAACACCGCCAAATTTCATTATGATCCAGATGCTAATTTACTCTTCGATACTTGGTTCCGAAGACATGAAGACCAATTTGAAGTTGATTTTGTTGGTCAAGATGATTCATGGAAAGTTCATCTCCTCCTTCGAAAAACTAGTCCATCTGAATTAGATCAATATTGTATTACAGTACTACCATAGAACTCAAGAGATAGCCCCCTCGACACCACAATGCATACCCTAAGACGTTTTTGGCGTTTATTCGTTTTTTTTCACTACCAGATACCACTGTCTTAAACTGGTTATGAATAACAATGATGATTTTTCCAGGCATATTGGTATTGTTGATCATGAATGTGAACTATTCAAGCTGAGGTCTATTGCCGATGATAAATTCAAATCCTTGATATTCAAATGTAGTCTTCAGTCATTTAAGGTCGCAGATATCAGAATTAGATAGATAAACCATTTGAACCAAGATCTAAAACTAACGTTGAACAATATCACTGCTAAATATTGGTGTTGATAAGTCATCGTTGTATCCTTATTCGTACCACATCAAAGCATGATATCATTTTTGCATAACCGCAGATCAAAACACTGACTATGAATTGTAATATAACTTGTGGAGTATACTCGGATGTTATTTTGGAAATCCATTCGACAGTTAACCAAACACAATATACCTACTTCTGTCGTACGAACACACCCCGATTTTTTCTGCTGATGTGAATGATTGGTTGCTCAAGTAGTCAGTAACTAAAATCAAATCTAAATATAATATGAAAATATCCAACTGTTCACAACCCTATGAGATACACAATATCTGACTCCTCAGGAAATTATTTGAATAACTAGGAATTCAGTTTGTAATTAAAAAATGATTAAATTTTACGATGGAGTTATCTGTTTGGGATAAAACTGTGACTGAGGTAACTGCTAGCCCATACTGGTCACCCCAAATGGCAGTAAACGATAAAGTTTTAAATGAGATTACAAACTACGGCTTCCTGTCATCAGTTGTTCCCGTACAACTCAGTGAAATTTCATGTGGGTTATTATTGTTACTAAACAACTGGATAGGATGATCTATTTGCAAACAATTTACAAATTGCACCACTCGCATTGACTGACATTTCTTACAGATGAGTAATTCTTCAACTGCTTAACTGTGGTGTTAACAGAGTTTCCGTTGGAGACCATCGCGCAGCCAAGATCGCAAGCGTCATGAAATAGCGCAATATGCTGCACCTGAACAACGTGCGCGGTTAGAAATCACCCAGGCTGACTAGTAGAGTTCGTTAGTCAAATCAGATTGATCTACACACCGGACTGTCGTTTCTTTCGTTTGGAGTTGAGTTTTACAGCGGTGTACCCGGATAAATTCAGTCCATGGAACCAAATTAGTTCAGATCATTTGAACTGCCGAAATCTATATATCAGCGTGGGTGGTTCCTAATAACTGAAGCTGTTCAGTAGTAGTATAAATGATTGAGTATTTAGTACATAACCATCAAATATGATGAATTATACTCAACTACACATGCTTCTGATGAAAGAAAATACAGTTTTCATTATTTCGACAATCATCGGGGTATTAATATGTTACCAGTAGCATCGAAAATATTGGATGCTATCATACTTCACAGACTTTGCAAAACACGTGAAGAAATGATTCGCGAGGAGCAGGCCAGGTTTCGCTCAGGTTGTGGATGCATTTATCATAGGGTTTACCTTCCACCAGATGCATGAACATCGCCACACATATTGCAGGCCAACAATGGCTGTGTTTCTTGACATTAGGGCTGCCTCTGATTCTTTGGACAGAGCTGTACTCTGAAACTGTCTGTCGGAGAAGAGCATGCCTGATAAATTTACCAACATCTTTAAATCCCTAAATAATAACATCTTAAGTAGAGTGACGGCGTACAACCAACTGCCTCCATTGTTACAAACTAGCAGTGAGGTTAGGAAGGATTGCCCAATTTCCCGATTACTCTTTAGCTCTGCTATCGATGACACTCTTGAGACAGGAAGGAAGGAAGTGTGCAATGGCGGTGTACATATACTACTCAGAGAACGGCTATTTGACCTCAGATATGCGGATGGTATCGTCTTACTGTGAGATAACACACAAGCTACTCAAATTGGACTTAATCAGTTGGCGATTAGTGTCCTTAAGCATGGTATGTGCTTTGCACCATCGAAAAATTAGCCGGAGCCTGTGCCTGAGCTCACATTCGGTGATAAGCCGTCGGAAGTAGTAGAAAAGTTCGTGTATCTGGCTCGTTGTATTAGTGCCGATGGAGGTATATGGTGAAATTTCCAACAGCATTTCGAAACCCAGAGTGGCATACGTCAATCTGGGCCACCTCTGGAGGCATCCTGACGTTATTCTGACCGTAAAAGGTCGGGTTTACAACGCTTCGATGCAAGCAATTCTGCTCTACACCTGTGAAACCTGGTCTCTTTGAGCTGAAGATATGCAACGACTCTGTGTGTTCCATCATCGTCGTCTCTGTAGAATTGCTCGTATCCGGTGATAATACCATAAAAGTAATCCCGAGGTACGACATCGTGTGTTTGGGCATGTAGGAGATCGTCATTCAATGAGTAATGTCATCTGGAAACACCAGCTTTGGTGGTTTAGACATGTGTTACGTATGTTGTCCCATCGACTTCCGTACCGTTCATTGTTTCCTAACCCTGGGACTGGATGGAAGAAGCGGATGTGAAGTCAGTGTATAACGTGGTGCCATGGAATGAAGGACAGCTGCACCAGGTCAGCATCTGTTAGTGTGGTTCGAGAGATGACCCAACTCAATGGCTTGAGACGTTATCAGATATGGGTCAGAATCGAAACCAGTGGCAGTCATGCTGCAGCTCTCTTCTAACTTCTGCTGCTGAAAAGTAGTGAACGTTTCTTTTGAATGTACCTTACTGGACCGCCTTTCTAATCATTCTGTTCTTTAATTATCCACTTCCCTTCGCTTTATGTCTTCATAATGTTATGTTATTTTGTGTGGGGCATTTCTTGGTGCCCTTGCCGTACCATGTTTTTGTCCTAATAATAATAATAATCCCGTCAATTTCATGGCATACTTTCTACTCGAGTTAGATGGACGTCAAAATATACACATTTATCGTGATGATCTTAAACCTTATCTACTGCCATATGAGTTCTGTCGAGTGAACAGTTCAGTGTTAGGGCAATTTGTTCGTTCGTTCGGAAAAAAAACTCTCACTTATACAAGAGTTGTCAGCTAACAACTTTAGATAACAAGATCACTATTAAATAGTCTCCTTTTGATTTTTCAATGTTCCCCATATGCACTTTTCCTATGCACTATCTAATCAATCACTCACGATGGTTAACTGCCGTCCATCCAATTATTTATCATGGGAAAAAATGAACAAACAGTAAAGTTGTATTCCACGAAGAGATAACACTGATATTAGTGTCATAGCATATTCATCATCTGATGCTTATACTAGCGATCAAAATTACATACAAAATATAATATCATTAACCTAAGAGATTGACAGCAGATTGCTTTCACTCATTGGTAAACAAACCATGATAGGTGTTAACAAATAAGTAAGCCTACCTTCCTTCAGATCACTATTACATAATTGACATGTATATAAGCGTACTGTTTGATCAAAACCCGCAGTTAAAAGATACGTGTAACAGTCATCGATCGTTATATCTTCCTCAGGAAATGTTGACATCCAGCTAAGATCTGCTACAGGTCCAACATGTCCTGTTAACGGTAAAGCTGGAAGCCAAAATTCTTTATCAGATTTGAACCATATAGAAATACTCCCCTATATACAAATTTAAGGGAAAATATTGACAGGAAAAGGCGACAATATAACTTAGGTAACTGAGACAATATGTACTGAAACTGTAATTCAATCAAAGCATTATCATCTGGACTGCGTATCCAAGATACCATGAGGGATCGAACCCAGGTTTCTTGCGGAGCATGTTACCATTGAGCTACCAGGTCGCAACTCAATGGTCCCTAATTACCTACCCCTTTCAATTCGTGATATAGCGCAAACTTCATTCCATGCTACTGATAAGCAGTTTCCCGAATTCTACTCTTATACTTAATCAAACCCAATTAATCAGCTTTGTTCTGTGCAGTTAAATAGAGTTATTGAATAAAGTATAGCTTCATTGATTGGTCACGGGAGAGCAACCAAGTTCATATTGTCTAGTCCTGAGTGCAGATCGAATTCTGTCGATTATATTCCCAATGCGGCCACCAAGCTAGGAGGCTCAGCATTGCGGTGCACACTAAGAGATATTAGTTGGTTGAAGGTAATCAACAGGAAACCCTGAACCTAAGTTTCGTGCTTTTTGGCACTTTTCAACAAGGTGTATCTGTAAACTCGACAGAACTGATGTCCAACCTGAGACTCGAACCCGCATGTAGCTTCAAAATGGGCGGGATTAGTCACATCACTAGGAATACATCGAGTTGGCATCTAGATGTAACTTTTTTTCTGGTAAGAGACTACAGTTTGATTGCTTCTCATTACAATCTTGCTGATTTCATCACATTCTAGTATACTTAAGATGAGGATAAAATAGTCCATTGAACTAGAGAATCAAATTTACGACATTAAAAAATATACGCAAAAATTAATAAAATTTAATTAAACATACTTGAAAAGTATGTCCAAATACTTTCGTACCATCGTTTGGTAACCAGTGACAATCCATTATACTCAATCCGGTATCACCAAAATGTCCAAGTCGAGTTTTTTCCTTCCATAAACTGCACATATCTGATGATTCTGTAGAATTTTCACTAGGAGGCTCCCAAATGATTAATGATTTATCCATACTGCAAGTAAGTAGATTTGGAGGAAATACTTGAACGTTAGTTGTTGGCGCCCAACGGACACCGGTAACCCAGTTTTCATGGCTGGCTAAAACACTTTCAGATGTTAAGCATAGATGAATGTTTTTGTTTATAAACTGTTCTGGAAGTTGAAGATGAATAGACTTTATTTTTGAAGACAGTAAAGAAAAGTGTAAGAGTGTACAGTAAGCATCTGCAAATTCTTATCATAAAGGTGAGAAAACTAAATGCTGTATCACTTAAAGTCTTTAACCACTGGTTTCTCTTGGCCCACGGACCCCAACCACCCGGTCTGCATAGTCCAACATGGCTCAAACTAACATTCAAACACTTCATACATTGATGCCATGTTTTAGTCTGGCCGCCTCGGCCCCTTCTCCAGCCTGAACCTACTTCACTCAACGCTGTGTGACAAGGTAGACTAGGCATACGTAACACATGTCCCAACCATCTCAGTCGATGAAAGTTTACAATCGTGTCAACAGATTTATCTCTTCTCCCTAAAACTCTACTCCTGACTTCTGCCTCACTCATGTGGTGACACCATGCAAAACGGCCTATACTATGAAGGTAGGCAATGGTGGTCAAACAGTTGAAGCCTTCTCATGTCTTTCACCTTCAATGGCCACGTTTCACAGCCACACAGTAGGACAGACCGGACTGCTGTGCAGTACATATGACCCTCAACAGACAATCGGATATCACGGTGGCGCCACAGATAGTATAAGTTGGCGAAATTCAGTCGTGTTTTTCGTATTCGTGCAGAGATTTCACTGGCCACTAAGCCACCAGGGCTGATCCTACTTCCCAGGTAAGCGAAGTGGTCAACACAATCAACTACTACACTCTATTGTTAGCCGAGGCACTGTTGAAGACCAGTCTCGAAGCAACAATTTGCTTTTGGGTGGTGAGAAATGCATCCCAAACATTCTCAAATTGCCACTCAAAGTGGCGATGGTGTCTAATAGTGAGTTTCGTCCTATTTAGGACTCATCAGCTGGATGTACGTACACCCCAGTGAGTAATGATGTTCCTATAGGGACTGGAACTCTGTATCCATACTTTCAAACAACAAAACATAATCCACTAGGCATATTGAGTTTACGTTCTTCAGTCGACTACTGGGACTCACTAACCACGTCACTAGTGCATTCGAAGGGTACTGACATTCAACTAACTGTTTGAACCGAATATTAATATGTAGATGCATTTTCTATAGTTTATACAATTAAGAAATCATTTCCTCTCTTACAATAAGGAGCTTAAAATGATCGCCATTACAGCAGGTAAACAAGAACACCACCACATTGGCAAATGAAAGGTCAGTGAAGGGCTCACAAACGAGAGGAAAAACGCGGTGTATATAAGTGGTGGTTTTCAATTTACAAAGGCATAATCCCTAAGTTATCTTAAGGTTCTACATGACTTTTAAGTACATTAATTCGATTTTCCTGAACCATCACAGGCTCCATACTTAAACCAACTGCTTGACAACTTGCGTGTTATCACAGTGAATCGAAGTGATGAAAGTGATTACTTTAAAAAACTGAATACCTTTTCAGGCTCACATCCGATCATTATTATATCATTTACTGTAGAAAACAGGCGCCATAGTCGAACAATACTGTCTTGACCACCTGTAGCAATCAATACAATAGGGATTGTCGACACTTGATCAACACAAACATCAATACATCGAATCCAATCTTCATGTCCAGAAACAGAAGTACTCAATATGAAGTTCAGTTTCATAGTACCATCTTCTTGATCACTGACCAGATCACCTGACCATATTTCCATCTGTCCATTATCAAGTCCAAGAACAATTATATGCAGCCAGGAGTTCACTCCACAAGCGTTTTCATTACTAGCCATAACACAACTATACTTCACACAAAAGCTTCTGAGACATAGACAAAGAGATGGATTCCGCGTGATTTGATTACCACGTGTACATGGTAATAATACTTCATTACTAGTAAGTAGATCATCTGGAAGACAAACAGACCAATTATAAACTGATGTATCAGCTGCAGCTGATAAAAATAACCACCCAGAAGATGAATGATCAGATAGTTGTAATGATTTTGATGATGGTAAAAAATAACCATCAATTGAATTAATAATGCAATGGTTTGGCGCTTGAAATTTATTGACTACATACCAATTATTCAAGTTATCAGAATACATTATATCATCCGTAGAAGATGCCCAAATTATCACTGTACCGCTATTGTCAGCAGACATTAGAAAACAGATAGACTGTTGATACACTTGTGATAGACTCGATTGATGACAACAGCAACTTAACCATCTTATACACCGGATATCAGAAGTATGACCAGATAATGTTTGATAAATACGCAAACTTTCATATGGTGAATTAACATTCATTTCAGTTGTTGCATTAGTTGAATATGTTAGTGATTTAGACAAGCATATGAAATGACTTGAACCAGATGCTAGAATATTTTGTACAACTGATGTATTTCGAGGAGAACAAATCGCTATAACACAGCTACAACCAGAGAAATGATTGATTCCAGTTGATGTAAATACACAACGGATTTTAGTATCATTAAACAGTACTTCTTTGTCTCTTCTTATATCCATAACAGAATAAAATACTAAAAGAAAAAAAAAACGAAATAACAGATTAGATAAGCTCATATTATTTTAATACCTTTTTTCTGTTAAACTGTCAATGATAGGTGCACCCGGTTATAAGGCTAAAATTCATACACATAAATTAATTCGTACCAACTTATTTTGGCAATAAAGACCGAAGTTGAAAGCTTAACTGTATCATAGCGGAATTCAGATCGTCGACCAGTAGGTAGTCAATCAGATTTTAATCAGTGAGTGCTGTACAGTATTATCATATGAATGAATCATGGTTCATTGGCTTACAAACTAGAGACGTCCGAGTAACGCGTATTGGATTTCAACCGCAATCCATCCACTACAATATGGGGCAATCGGATAATATTACAAGATATAAAATAATGTATGACAGATAACTAATAAGCATTTTGATCCTTAACAGTAAAGAAATTGACTGGTGAACATCACTGATACTTATCAAATAAAATATATTGCTAACATACATTAAAGGATATAATGATTTTGCACTCCGTTCTAGCTGCAACTCTTTTTTAGACTAAGTTAATGATACTACTCGCCTGGTTAGAATGAAGAAAAAAGGTGAAATCAAACCTCAAATCGAGTGGTTGGTAGGCGTTGCTCATATCATCGACGTTAATACAACGCGTATCATTGTCTAGAAGGAATTAAAACAATTAAGGAAGAAAAAGGCTACGTGTTTCCGAATACATTGTTCTATGCTTATAATGACTAAACGCCAGTGAACTAATGCATCTAGGATCGCAGCTAAATAAATATAGTGCACAGTGGCTGAAATATTTGAAGCTCAAAGATGCCTATATACTTTTTGATCACATGTATCAAGCGAAGGATATAAGGAAGACAGGCAAGTCGACTGGTGAGTTTGTGAACTTTAGTCAACTGAGGTGGCTTGGACCTGTACTGGGCATGCCGAGGCGCCACCTCCCTCAAGGTGACATACTAAGGGAAGTTGAATTAGGTTAGGATAGGGTTTAGGGTGGCCAGACCAAGACGTAGCATCACTCGATGAAGTCTCTGAATGTCGGTCAAAGCCATATGATTAGGTGGCTGGGGTCCCCGAGACGAAAGGAATCAGTGGTTGAGGACTCCTGGCGAAATAACTGAAAATTGGTCACCATGTCGTAGATGTATTCACTTTCTGACATTTTCTGAAGCTTGAATTTTTCCCTCTTCTCCCGTACACCTTTGTCTACTTTGATAACAGCTTTCCTAGTCACCCGTTTGTTGTATACCACTGCAAAGTGTAGCAAGTTGAATCGATGTATTTGAGTACAAGATTCTTTTGATAAACATCAAGTGTCAGTAAGAAAAATCGGTTACTAGTACAGAATGAAGCAATTACAATTCACTTTACATAGTGCTAAGATATTCACACGTGTAAATGGGAGGTTACTTTCTCCCACCTAAACATAATTTTATTTATGCTACTTACTAGAAGGTTGAGGAAATCCTATTTGTTTTGTTAAATATGATTATGCCATTATAAACATCTAGGCCATATTTGTTACGAATGTCCCGGGACAAGTTAAGCGTCGAGTCTGATTTAATCATTGTAAGAGCACATTTTAATATGATCCCAGAGTTATATTCATCTTGGTAACTAGCAGCGGAGCCCAGAACTTGCCTTTCATCCCATTTGGGACTAATCAGCTGGAGGTACCTACATCTGGGAGAGCGGTGTTGTTCCCACTACTCCTCAGACCCAAGACCGATCACTCAAAATCCCAGAGCGTCATCCACTAGGCCACTGAGTTACGATAGCCACTACTTGTGCAACAGGTATAGTTTTGGTGTTACTGCTTGTAGTTTCCCGTCGTCGGCTGGACATTATTATTCCCTCTCACAATGAAGTACGATCCAAAAGTTACAGTGTTAGTAGTTATAAGTTCTATCTATATGTCAACACTAAGCAATTATACAATTAAGCCGGATGGATTAAACCTCAGAATGCAAGAAAACTGGGGAATTAAGCAGGATTTGTACCACAAAAATAAAGCTTCCCCAGAACAAAACCTACGATTCCTCTTTCATACACTATTTACTGCATTTACGAACACAAATGATAACGAGTACTGTTCATGGGAATTCGCTTTTTGTTTCACTGTCGAATACATAACTAGTTCACAATAGCATGGCATATATACATTTACCTCTATAACCAATGGATAAGAGTGACTCTAGAGGTCACCCTAGCAACTGCTGAGATTACCAATCAGACTCCTCTATTTCATTGAAACCTACTTTCCCCATCAAACTAGTGAAACCTGATTAGTTACTTAAGCAGTTGCTGGGGAGGCGCCTTTACATTCACTCAACAGACAACAAGACATTAGTTTGAGTTTATTGATGAACAGAGAAAAAGATCTACGCATACTGTAGGCAGCTTAACTCTTAGTTAGTTTGGAATATCCTAGCTTATAATTTTATGACTGAAACGTAAAGTGAGTGTGAGAAGGCTAAATAATAATTTTCAAGAAAAGCTTTACTCTATTAAGCAGACAATGTGATAACACTAACCTATATACATAAATTGTTTCATGATATCAAAAAATAATACACAGAATATTCGAAAGGCAACATTTGATAGTTTGAACATTCGCCTGACAGTTGAAGAAGAAAAAACTTGAAACACTCAAAAATGTACACATTCGTGAGTAGGCAATGAGCCACACCTATTGTGACGGCTACTGATGGTGCCATCTTGTTGCCCAAACCTCGCTAGGTGGAGTGGTGTTCGTACCAGTGACGGATTAGCTGAAAGTCAATTCCCTGAACAAATGAGTCACACCTCCACAACTAACAATTGAAGGATTGAGAATTGCAATCCCAAACAGCATTTGTACGGTAAAGATGTGACGGTGACACCATCTTTCCAAACAAAACTGATGACTTACAGTCACCTCTACACACAGGTTTATACCGCTGATGTGTTCAGGAAATATTTCTTTACACAACAACTAACAACCATCTGGTGTAATAGTAAAATACTTCAGTTATAATATTCTAAGATGATGTCGGTTATTCACTGAAACACAAAAACCTCCATGTTAAATAAAATACCACACATGAAGATAACCGATCATTAAAACGGATCCGAGGAAAGTGGAAACTGAAGTATGCAGAATACCAAGTCATACGGATCAAATCTTCAACTACAATAACAACAGCCTAACATCGCACAAAATCAGTTGTATAAAAAAATTGTTTTAAACAGCGAAGACGCACTGTTGTACGGCAACCTTGCTGAGGAAAGAAGAATACTATTTGTTGACTGTTTTCCAGAAGAACGCCTATCCAGGCAACTTCATCAAAAGATGTTTATCTAATTTGACATCAACCAAAAAGTCCGGCTTGGAAGCCAACAAATCGATTGCCTTACTTTACATGAAGAACAACTCCAAGATCACAATTAGACTACTGTAGCCTTTTCAAGTCGCTGTGGCTCACAGGCCCACAAAATATCTTCACTCTCTGGTATGCAGGCCGAAAGATGTGACAACGAAAGAAGAGACAACAAACGTAATCTACAAAACAAACTGCAGGAACTGCGAAAAAAGCTACATCAAACTGAGTGATCGCCCTCTTCTTGCCCGTCTGCATGAACATTAACTAGCAGTGAAGTGGCATGACATATCTTTGTTCATATCAATACATACGGACAATTGTGGTTGTGAATTCGACTGTGAAAATGTGAAAGTCCTGGATAGAAGAGATATAAAGAATGCTTGGAATTCAGGTCAGTCAGCTATCACCAAACATATTGACACTGATCCAGGCCATCAACCAGTTAGAAACACGTGAAAGAAAAAGGTCAGAGTTGACATCGGCAGGCCAACCAATCGAAATAGGTGTACAGACACTGACAAGACTTTGACAGGAACAACCAACCACACCTTAAATCATCAGGACAAGCTATTAAGCCACTCACGAAGAAAATCCTATAGCTCACTTCTTTCTGAAGTTTATGCTAATGATTAAGTCTAGAATGACAATGAAAGCTTTATGATTGAACCATCCAGCTCAGAGAATACAACACTATTAAAATTATCCTCTCCTGAGCTACATACATTCTCCATTATCTCAAACACAAGGACGCTTAGTTTTTCTCTTAGGGACGTGTATGACGAACATACGTGTTAGTACTCGTTAACCAATATATCAATTAGTTACAACAATCACCGTTCACTCAACAGTACATTTAGACATTCTCCAATATTCGTGTAAAGAACTGAAACCATCGGTATCTGGTATCGATGTTGTAGCTACATGGAATAGCTCTCAATTGATACTATTTATACATATAATTAATACCGCGCTACCACGCACAACCAATACAACATGAAATGCAAACAAACTAATAAATTTTTTTTAAAAAAAGCAGAATTTAAGAGAATTATTGAAAATTGTTTTAGTACATAATATCTTATTCACTTCAAAAATTACAAGAAATGTTCATTTAGTAAGTAATGAAGAAATGAAGGGATAGAGGGAGATATAAGAACTGCATTCAAATGAATAGTCATATCTTACCAAAGTACTGAAGAGACGAAAGATAAGAGAAATGTGTGTACAATAGTCGAAAAAGTTGCTATGACAGGAATATATAAAAAATACTTACACCTGTTCACATTAAATCAATTCGGAATAGAAGTTAAATGCAAATCTACCAGGTTAAAAAAGAAAAACAATAATAGCTGAAAATTGTAATGCAGTCCGATTATTCCATTGAATTATCTCCATGAGTTGGATCAGATTCAGATATCCACTTCTTTAAATACTGTCCTAGGAGATCACGTATACGTTTAATACTTCCAGGTGGAAGCCAACCATCGATTGGATCGATTTCAGTTCGCTCAGGTACTTCTTCTAGCATAGCTTGAACTTCAGGAATTTCAATATCCATGAGACAATAACGAACTTGATGAGTAGTTGGCCAGTTATTTGGTCCAAAACGATAATCTATACCCTAAATGAAAACAGTTTTACAAAATTAAAAAATTATGGTACTAATTCATATATTCCATATGACGTGATTAATTACATCAAAGTATATTCATGTATGAATGATGCAATGAAAGAGAAGAGCCTAAAACCATGAGATAAGTGCATGCTTCAATTTTATTTGATTGAAGAGAAGAAAATGAAGTCTACTTGATGGACCATGCCAACCGCTCAACTGACGACAGATTAAAAACGCTTTTTACAGTTAATGATGGTACTACTTTCCTCAACCTAAGGAACATCCATTTTAGTCTGTTTCTTAGAAATATCACACAATGAAGGAGAAACACTATCATTTACCGGATAACGTTTCCGATACAATTTACTGCCTATATTCGTATCAGATAACTCAACAACTTTGAGACAAAGTTTATGTAGTCCCAATTTTCTCACCTTCTTTGTGATGACAATAATAGTAGAATTTTCCATATATCTGTGACAGGTGTACAGTCATTCCTGTTACTGTATGTACTTGGTGTTAATTCGATAAACGAAGATTCGGTTGTCAATCTCTCCCTCTATCCAACTAAGCTAGTTTTCATCACTGTCGCTCTATCCCACCCTACTGTGCGATTGTGTGTAATTACGTGTAGAGCAGTAGCCCAGCCTTCTACTAAATTTAGCAACCTATTAGGATCTACTAAGCCAAGTTTCTAATCAACCCTGACAAGTCGACTACTCTGACCTATGTATTTGACATCGCAATTGTTGCAAGGGATTTGGTAAACTAAGTTATTCTGTTTAATTGGGTCAATAGGATCTTTTAACCTACAAAGCTCATTTCGAAGTGAGTTTGTAGGTTTAAATGCCACTAATCCCAGCCAGCCTTATTGAGGATTCTACGTAGTGTTTCTGAGGTGCCTTCTTTGTATGGTAATACCATGGAGGTTTTTAATTCTCTATTCACAGTATTGCCGCTAATATTATTAACATCATTATTACTATTATTGTTGTTGTTATTACTACTATTAATAACTGTGTTACTGATATTTTTCTTACAATTCCTAAGGAGCTTATCAATTAATTTGGGGGGGGGTAATTGATAGTGATTAAGGCGTCTTTCATGTATCTGGATTTTTTGTTTTACATCTTCTGTTTTATTAGTAAGTTTTTTGGCCCTGTTACTTAGACACTTTACCAATCCAACTTTAACTGACATAGGATGAGACGATTTGAACTCTAAGTAACGGTTTGAATGTGAAGGTTTTCTGTAGACACTAGTGTCTAAACTCCCATCCTGTTTCCGTTTTATTCGGCAATCCAAAATCGCTAATTCTCCTTCACTATTGTCTAACTCATAGGTGAATTGGATTGCGTTAACTACTGAATTTATATGTGTGAAGAAATTGTGTATGTGTTCCGATTTCAACACTGTAAACGTGTCGTCTACATAGCGAAACCATATTTTTAGAGTTGGATTAAATTTTTCTACAGCTAACCGTTCCCAACTATCTATAAACATATCAGCCACAATAGGGGATATTGGTGATCCCATGGCAACTCCAGTTTGTTTGTATATTTTATTCTGGAACCTAAATATTGTGGAAGTTAGGCATAGCTGTACTCCTAGCATGATATCATCTGCTGGTACCTTAGTTCGTAGTGTAAGCTAGTGGTCATTATTGAGTTCCTTTCTAACTGCTTCCAGGGCCATACTAATCGGTATACTGGTATACAACCAGACTTACTGAGAATTCTTCGTAACGCTTGTGAGCTACCTTCCTTGTATGGTAATACACCAGAGGCTTGGAATTCTCTCTCAACCCTGTTACCATTAATACAATTATTACTTGGATTATTATTAATAACATCTCTGTTACCACTAGTACTGCGCACACTTTCCTTTCCATTTCCCATGAATTTATTCACAAATTTACATGGGGAATTATTGAGACACAAGGTATTCTTAATGTATCTAATTTCTCGTCGCACATTTTCTCGTCTACTAGTAAGCTTTTCAGCCCTACTGCTTAGGCGTTTAACTAAGCCTACTTCAACTGAGATGGGGTGACATGATTTGAAGTCTAATTAGCAATACGAATAGGTAAGTTTCCCATAGACACCCAGTCTCGAAACTTCCATCTTGTCTTCCTTTGATCTCGCAATCCAACATTTCTACCTCATCTTCATCACTTTCTAGGTTACAGGTAAATTCGATTGCATTCACTACTGAATTTATATGTGCCAAGCACCTATCCATGTGTGCCGATTTCAGTGCCGTAAACGCATCATCTACATGTCGGAACCATATCTTTGGAGTAGGACTAAGTGTTTGAAAGGCCATCCCTTCCCAACTATCCATAGGGGATATTGGTGATTCTATGGTAACTAACAAGAATACATGCTATGGAAATTATTCTGCACCTGCCCCACATATATGGAAAATTCTACTAGCTTAGTCACTAAGAAGAAGAGGAAATTAGGACTATATAAACTATGTCTCGAAGTTGTAGAGTTACCTGATATGATTGTGGACAATAAATTGTGTCCGAAACGTTGTCCATTAAATAATACTGTTTCACTATGTGATGTTTCTAATAAACAGGTTAAAATGGAATTACAATATACCACAGTGCCCAGGTTTCACTCCTATATTAACGTACATCCAGTTCATAAATTTAACCACTTCAAGGAACACGCTCACTTAACACAGATATCCACTGAAATGAATCATAAAATTTCAATACAAGTATTGTCAATCATTAAAATCAATTAGTTGATGCAAATTGACGATTTCACAAACATTTATTATTATGTGATGAGCTATGAGGTATGCCATAATATATGAAGGCATAATATCGTCAGTTACCCGTTTCCTAGTCGAAGTAAAGAGATGGTTTAAACTCGTAACCCAGGCATTAGTTATCAAATGAGTAGGTTGTAGGCCATTAAATTCGTCACAACCTGAGTAGACAAATATGGTCATTTGTTTTTCGCCAACCCAAAGTTACCACTGCCACTGAATTCATTAGTGAGAGGCAGTAAAGACGATGTAAACCTAAAATTCAGTAGTAATGACGAAGTTATTGAATTCTCTCACTGGAGATTAACTACCGAAATCTAGTGCTGCGAACAGCCTTGATAGTAACAATAATATGATTTATTTCATAATACTTTTGGAAATATGACTGTTTGAGTAAAACGAATCAATCTACCACATTTATTCATTCCTAGAGAAGGTTAATCATGACCGGGTTAGCTTAGTGGTAATGTCTCCCCACTGCAGCACTAGGTGATGCGGGTTTGAATCGAGGTTGCAGATATGCCTTGGTGACAAGTTTTAGAAAACCCGAATCCCAGATCAACCAAGGCTCCCTACCGATTGCTTAAAACATAACTTGTCGGTTTCTGGTTGAATATACTGAATTAATAATACAACAGTAGCATAGATTAAATCATAAAACCTACTTATTTGAGGGTTTATTTCTATAAACTAAATTACAAGGGGTGAAAGATCAGTGTATAGAATCTATTTCCACGTCCGTATCTTGCCTGAACAAGACGAAAAAGAAGCATAGTATACATACCTTGTTCAATGTTTTCTGTATTCTATCATCTCCATCCTCATCTTCAGCATCATCAATCATAGTTGGATCTAATTCATCATCATCACCATCTGAATCTACATTGTCTTCTTGGGGGACTTGATTGGAAAAATTCAAAATTTCATCAATATAACTATCTTCTCTAGAACGTACAGATTCATAAGATTTTCGACAATCAGGTAAGAATCGTTTAGTTGCATCAGTGCATAGCATACGTTTTCTAACTGATGAATGACACAATAATTTACGTACAACCATATAGGCTTGAACACGAAAATCAATTACCTAAAAAAACAATACAATACATCCTCATAAAATCAATTTGAATGGATAATTTGACTAACAAGAACAAATATAACCAAGTTACCAGGTGAATATTTATGGTTCAAACTGTATCGCCTATCATGTTCATAAAGAATAATGACCGACAGTGTACGTTTGAAAGTGTAGCTTTTAAAAACTTCAAAAGATAGAGTGGAATCAAATATTTTATAAAATTATTACTATTGTTAATATTGTTATTATGATTACTATTAGAATACAAACTTGGTACAGCAATGGGATCAAGAAATGCCCCACATAAAATAATATAACATAGTGAAAATATAAAGCGAAGGGAAATGGATAAAGAAAGAGAATTGGATGATTAGAAAGGTAGTTCAATAAGATACGTTCAAACTGAAATATTAATTACTTTTAGGCAGCAAGAGATAGAAGGAAGCTACAGTATGACTTCAAGTTAAGTAATTTTTGTCTACTTTAACTCCTCGGTGGACAACTATCTCAACTTTATTTATTTGTGCAGTCTGATAGTTGGACCCAAATAATCTCTACATGGCAAAGCTTTTATAGGTTAATTAAACAAATACAGAATTGCTGAATGTCACTAATCACTTTAAGGGATTATAACTCATCGATCGGCATTTATATTTGCCTTTGACAGAGACTAGTAGGATATACAGAATATTTACGTTCTTCCTACCACCTATACATCATATCAATGAAGTGAGGAGAAATAAAGAAGGATAGGAAAAATACTGTAAACGGTAGTGGGGAACTTATGGAGCTATGGCTCATTGGTTTATGGAGATGATTATCAACCAGTGAGTCGCGGGTTCGAACACACTTCCATATATCGAGGTTTGGGTAGCCAAGTAATAGCTCTCACACTATAGATGTGGCTTACTGCACCGAGTGCGTTTTGATTTCAATTGAGGAGTTTGAAGAAAAGAGCAGAGTACTCTTATTCTCATATATTTGTAATAGATTTTCACAGAGTAATATTCATCCTTATATTAACTTTTAGAGTATACTGAGTGATTAAATTATGTATAGATAAAAAAAAATCGTAGAGAACGCTTAAACAACTACTAGCCAGTGTTTTGTAGTTAATTAAAAAGTAAATTCTCATGTCCGAAGTATCTCATCCCGAAGTATTTGGGATATCTGATCCCTAAAAAAACTAACTTTTAACATGTATATATTTCCAATGCAAAATCCAAACCTTATCTTCGCGCCTTTTTTACTTCATGCAATGGTACTTACTTTTACAGCGGTTTAAGATACTAAGCGCTGATTGGTCCACTTTACACTTTTAATATACTATTTTGTTTCCGTTGGTCAAGGTCATTAGGAATGTGTATAAACGACTTCCATCCCATTGTCTTCTTCTGGTGTTAGCTGACTATCATGTTGAGAAGTCATTGTCCCATCGTTAATCGTAACGCGCTGGAGCATTATATCGTTTATATATAAATGCCGTAGAACAAAACAAAAGAAACTCAGAACATTTTATACTAAATTCAATGAACCACAGTGTCACATCACTTACTTTCCTCATTACATTGGAAAATTGAAAAGGATAGACTTCGGCTATCACTAAACACTTGGGACTCAATAGCTGAATCACTTACCATTCGGTGAACACTTTGTAAATATAATCCAGTCTTTAAAGGAGGTCAGTTGTGACATAAACTAAAGTCTTTGACTTCGGCATTGAATGATGCACCAGGTTCTAATCACCGAGAAAACACTAGTCTCCTAATGGTTGTAAACACACCTTACTGATGAGCGTCAGTTCAATCGAATCAAAACGTACTCAACAGCCTTGTGTAAACACGTACAGCAGACAATAAGCCACGTCTATTGTAGGACGGCTATTGATGATACTACCTAGCTGGAACCCGTGACTCATTGGTTGGAAGCCATTTTCTTAAATCAATAAGCCTCAGTTCGTCGGTAAGAATTCCTAATGAAGCAATACCTTTTCATATGTTAATATATAGATAGGTTAATTAACTTCGCAACAGTAATTACAAACGTACCTGATAACGTCGAGCTTCAGGATCTTTGCGAGGATCATAACCATAACGAACCAAGCTCGGCTCCATGGTCCACGAACCATATAGTAACCTAAAGAAGGGAGTATCTGGGTAAAATAAACCAATCGAGTATCTGCAGGCATATGGTAAGCCAAAGCAGGACGCATCCAAATTGGTCTCTCATCGAAAAGCTATATAAATGAAGCAGTTTTGAATTAGTATATATACATATAGTATACGAAGAAATAATTTATAAAGTTTAACAACACAACTGAACTACTTTCAACTTGCAGCATTCCTATTTACTTTTGAAATCATTTTTGTAACTGAACTGTAACCTAGATAATTAATCCTCAACTACTAAGCTATTGATTCATATTAATTTAATCCAGACTAGAAAACCGCTTCTACTGTACACTCCCACAGTATAGATTTGGTACACAGCACGTATACAAAATTGTGGCCACACTCAGTGTTGCTGAGACAAGGTACAGTTTGGATGAAATTTAAATAGTTCTACCATCTATTTTAGACACAATCTACAGAAACGTGAATAGAAAACATCAGGTAAGTTGAATCCGGCCAAACAAAACCGCCTATCTCTGTATGAGCACTCGTTTATAAACATTTATCTAAACACAATATAGCCGTGGTTGATTGGTCTAGCCATTCGACTCCAACTAAGGGGTCAGTTTTGAACCCAACTCCACCTCCTAAGTTTACTTAGTGGCTAGCAGTGGAATCCAAGACGCACATTTAGGATTCGTTAGCTGGATGTACCCCACCTTCAATAAGTAATGTTGTTCCCACCTACTGAGAGTCGAACCCAGTACCCATCGTTTTAAACGCCATAGCATTATCCACTAAGCCATGGAGGCAAGACAGCCACCACTTTTGTAATGGGTATCAGTTGCTGTTTATTGGTATATGCAACTGCCCTTTGCTGTACTGGATCCAACTTCCCGACTTCTGTCGAGTACTAGGTTCGAGTCTCAGAGGGAACAACATCATTCGACGGGGTGGACGTGCATCTAGCTGACGAGTCCCAAACAGGACGAAACGTGTCCTGAATTCCACTGTTAGCTACAAAATACACCACAATATAATGAATTTTCTCATAGGAGCCCATCTGTGGATAGAGGTTGAGCAATTCGACTCAATATAACAACGGGGAACTATAAGTATCAATAAACATCCACCTCCTAAGATCTGTGTAGACAGGTAGTATCATAAAGCCTTATGAAATGTGTAGTTCACAGGCTACACACGAACCTGTAAGTGTTTTCTCGGTTACATATTTCGCGACACAAATGTGCATAAATTAATGCTAATCAAGGAATGAAAGGAATTTCAGCGCTGATCTACTCTCTAAATATTCCCACAGTGATAAATAAACTTCACATTTTAGTTCTTAAACTGTCTTCTAACTAATCTACTTGTTTGAGTGGATATATATCCTCAAGGTAATATAGGTGAAGTATCGAATCGTATTAATCTTCCTGATTGTGGTGAACCAGACTGGATCATGCAACAAACTGTGAGGAGCGAGAAGAGGGACATACCACGACTGGACCAATGAAAAGACCCCACAAGAAGATCTGAATTTCACCAGTCACCATTTACCTCTAATGTCTTGTCGCACAAAATACAACATCTACAGGCGAAAACTAACAAGTTGACAGAAGAGGTGAGGCAACGAAGACAGAACTTCCTTCAAGTGAACGTAGAGGAGACAGAGGTGATAAAGATACCCAACCAACAATAACAACAACAACATGCACCAGTCAACATCAAACAGAGAAATCTAAAGGAAGTTGTCTATTTCACCCACCTAGGCAAAGCAGCATCGTCCCAACTATAGGCGGCACAGGCACAGATGAGGATGTCAGAGCCAGGGTCACAAAGACAGCAAGACAGGCCTGCCTTCATTAGTCTGAAATCAGTCTAGAGATCTACTGCACTGCACTGTACTGCACTCAACATAAAGCGTGAACAATATCCGGATTCTAAACACTAATGTTAGTCAAGTCAGTGCTTCTATGTGACGGTTCAGAGACTCGGCGCCGTACGAAAAGCATTTCCAACAAACTGCAGATACACATTAACAGTTGCCACCTACGCTCACTCGATACTGGAGATCAGACCACAAAGCCAGAAAGAATAAGCAACATGGAACTCTGGCTGGCTGGCTGGCAACGAATCAACCAACAACCTATCACCCAACAAATATGCAGAGGAAGAAAGTGGAGATTGGTTGGATTTGACATACACTGAGAAAACCGGGCCAGGTCGTCGAGTGGAAGCTAAGTGGGAAACGACAAGTTGGGTGTTCCAGATGAGGGTGACATTGAGATCGTGTGAAGAAGAAATAACAGTTTGTAAGTAGTCGTGGAGCAAAGTTAAAAAGACTGGAGAGAAGAAAGTGAAATGGAGACGTGCTACTGAAGTCCTATGTTCCACTAGCAACCCAAGGGACAAATAATAATAATCGAATTGTACAATTAGATTTGATGCAAACCAACACTAACCATCACCGTGAATTACGATAGTATGCACTGGAAGCCTGAAAATTCTGACCATTCTACTCAGATCATTCGATCAGATAGTATTTGCTCGCCACTTCATCCAAAAGAACTATACCTTCATTTCGTAAGTTTAATAAATATTCAGGCAGGAAACTGATTTCGTATGAATAGTAATTTCCAAGAAGACTGAGTGCTAAAGTAAAGAGAGATAGCTCATCGTTCTTCAACTGCAACTCTGAGTTTCATGAGATCCAAACAGACAGACAAACAGATCAACGTAGAACCCGACAAAAAGGAAAATCAGTTCAAGTTGCTATATCTCATAGCAGCGTGCAAGAAAGGAGTGTATGACTAGAAAGAATAAATCGATTAGGATGAGGTCATAATTAAAAAGCTACGTCGGTGAGCGCAGTGTCAACTGTTAATTAATAGGTAATTCAAAAAAATCCTAACCTACTCATAACTGTATTAGAATTTTCCTACATAAGTAGAGGACTGAAGTCAACTTCAGGCATCAGAATGCTCTTTCACTCCGAAACAAAAAGGAATTCATCACCAAAAAAATTTGAAATATCAGAAAAGTGAAATATATGCGGCTACCAAAACAAATCGACCACAATGAAACGTAAGGATATGCTGCAGAGTACCTTTCCGACCGAACAATTTCGCAGCTGTGGTTTATTACTTACGGCACTAAAATTTCCAACCATAGGTCTCGAGTTCGAATCCCACACCATCTGCCAAGGCATGGGCAGTCACGTAGTGTCATCAGCCACACAATGTGTGATTCACTGCACACTGCACCGACGCACATAAGTTTGCCGAGTATACGCATATACTCAGACTTCGATAGGCAATCAGATATCTAAATAGCGCTCGAGATGTCGTAAGTCGGCGAACACTAAGTCGCATTTTCATATGTGAGCCGAAATTTCGTTACCGATCCACCCACCTCGACTGATGCAACTTTCCAACTAAGTTAAGCAATCAACACATCCCACCACTTCAAACCCTAACTTTAAGCTTATATTTGGCTCAGACCAGTCCTGAAGCAACGTCTTACATTCGACACCTGCGAAACGTATGCAAAACACATTCAGATTTCTCCTCAACACGTTCAGTAAACCCTGCATTTTGACAGTATCTTAACCCAGCAGGCCAACAGCCTCTGCATACTCAAAGTCAATGAGATACCCTCTAGGAAGTAGATTAATCCCTGTGAAGTCACACGTACCTGAGATTATATCCATTCTCATACATCTACAGTGAAGTTAAATAGGAAGTGACAGTGGGCATCTCTTGAGGACACCACCGTTTGTCGTTACTCTGCATAAACCTTTACATGACTTCGAGTAGAGAGCTTTGATAAGCATTGCATGTTCACTCAGTACCCCTTCCATACTCAGACACTACCACAATACCTCTCAGCCGACAGAGTCCAATACCCTCTTCAGGTTAAGAATTATGGTGACTGTCAGCCACTAGTAAGTGTGCACATGTTCCACAACCTGTCGAAGAATGAAGATTTGGTCGATTCACCACCATCCAGATCTGAAAAGTGTCTGGTTATTTCGAATTTGTTGTTCTCGAGCTGCAGTTAAGCACTGGGTAACTATGGACCCCAAGGATCTTGGACACAATGTTAGTAAAACTCATTCCCCTATGGTTGTCATAAGACTTGTCATAAGACTTCTCTATCTTCTTGGGAACTGGTATGGTCAGTGAGGTAGACCAGTTTGACGGGACCATTTCTGATTCCATATACTAGCTGGTACCTCAGTTACTGCTAAAACTAACGAGATGTTGTACTAAATGTTGGCCAAATTTTGCGGAGTAGTAAATACTAAGAAGCTGTCTAGAGAAGAAACTCGATTATGATTTTATTGTGCGATACATTTCTGTTCACAAAATTTGACCTTTAAGATTTTTAAATGTACCACGGTAAATTTTAAACCTTTACAATGCTGAGATATCAATTAAAAGGGAATATCAAATGAATAATCCGACAACCTTCTGGAAAGAGAGTAGTCCTTATCTTGAGTGGTAAGTTCGATTTACAAAAGAGTTGGCACAGACAAGAAATAAGGCATAAAACGCACTTTTTGAATCCCTTCTTTTACTGGTATAGCAGCTGATCCAAGATTTATTACACGTTGTACTGCTCCAGGCCTAGGACACATAGGAGCTTCATCGTCCAGATTTACAAGATATCCAAAATTTGGTCGAGCTTTTCTTGCTGTAGGTAAAGAAAACATCTATTAAGACATCCTAGTAAAGTAACGTTATAAAGATGACATTGTTGAATTTGAAAAAAACTATCTGCAAGAAGGAGAGAAAAAAACCGACGTAGAACGTCGCACACAACTGTATCGGTTCAAGTTGCCATACTTCCCAGTAGAATACAGAGAACAAGTGAACAGAAAAAGACTAATATCAAAGTAAACAAAGGTGAACTGGGAGGAGAAAGAAATTAAAAATAATGGTTAGCCAAAACATTCCACCTTTAGAAGATGTCAAAAATTAAATACATTCGCACTATTGTGACCAATTTTCAGATGTCACCAAGAGTTCTCGACCACCTATTTCTATCATCTCAGGGACCCCAACCAGGTGGTGTACACCTCCCCACACGACCCAGACCAACAGCCGGAGACTTCATACACCGATACTACATCTCGGTCTAGCCACGCTGAGCCTTCTTCTAACCTAAGCCAACTTTTACTGGCACTCCACGTTGAGGTAGAGGTGGTGACTCAACATGTGTAATACATGCCCAGGTCATCTTAGTCATAGCAAGAAGAGTACATCATATACAGTTGTAGAAATAAATCAGCAATTCAAATACACATGTAGCACGTAATTGTAATTGTATTACAGAATTGTAGACAGACGCATGTCTTTGATGTATCGCTTAATCATGGAGACATTATTAGATGACAGAATACCAAAATATTAAACATGTGGAATCATATAACCCTTAGTGACTGCTGTTTTTACAAAATTGAGTTGACTGAACTGCGCATATAATATAGAAGCAACTAGGTAGCACCTTTAGGTTGTTCCCATTTCGAACAACTTGTGTCGTATCAAAGTTGCTTTACCCTCTTAGACGTGTGACTTACTGTTGGTTAAATCACTCAACTTCCACATAACGTCTCGAGTTTAAACCCCGGTCTACCTCTTTATGCATAGCCAACCGGTTAGCCTGACAAGCCATCAAACAATACGTGAGACCTAGTAGATAAACTTGTACCTAGTTGGAAAGTATTATTCTCACTATAATAGCAGGGAAGACAGCACTATTGCATAGCACGTTCGCTCTTTGATAACCAAACGAATATGATGCTGATGCCATAAACCGCACAAGCTGGTAAATATCGATAAATCAAGGTTTCAATAGCAAACAGCTTATCAAATAACCTCTTAAATCAATACAAATGACAAGTGCAGGACACCGATAAGGATCTTTTTTAAGATGCTACCTAAAAAGGAAAGGTTAACCATCATCGGCACCCGAAAACCACACTGTTTCCCCAGTTTGTCAGTTCCTCGTTTTTAACGGTTATGACTCACAGTATTCGATCATCACTGATTTATAGGATTGACTGCATTTAATGACAAAATTATACAAGTAATGTTGAATAGGTAAACAAATCAACATTAGAGACTTGTAGAGATATATTCCAGTTCAACTCGCCTCACTTTGAATCAACACAGAGAGAGAAAGTGAATAAGTAAAGGTTGGAGATAATCACTCAATAAGTTATATTAAAAGACAGAATTCAGTGGTTTAGACATGCCGCAAAACCCCATCTTAGTGGTTTCTGCACTGCTGATAGTTTTTTTAGTTGCAGACTGACTGAAAGAAATAGAGGATTGGTCAGTTTATGAAGTAGGATGGAGGTATGATTGCCTTCAATTAGCCAACCTATGCAACTTGAGCCGGTGCACACATGTCCGAGGTTCTACGTTGATTTTATCAGTCAGTTTGTTACTTAAACGTTACCAGATTCAGCTTAGAAGTGAAATCAGTGGTAGCTATACGTTAGTTTCTTCATGCCTTCTATTTATAAAAGTTGGTGCAGACTTATTGAAAGCATTCTGAATACATCTATGACTGTTTCTCTTTTTACCATCACATCTTGATGTATTATTTTTCCTTTTCACCCCTGCAATGTTACCAATATTTTTGAGATGCATTTATTGATACCCAAGTCATAAGATTGCGTTCAAATAAAATAATAATCTATTTCCATACCACTGATAAATTCTACTGGTAATTCTTTACCTCCAAAGTTAAAAATGTTTGGAGTGGGTCACAAGCTCTTACTTTCCTACAACACCCTTCACATCTGAGTCGATTTCCAAGTTAGACGATCAGTAGATATGCCCCATTTAGGTTGAGTAAGTGGCGCATGACAGTATGCTATCATCTGGCCCTTGTTTACAGAAATCTGGGAAGATTCCTCCTAATGATAGTCATCACACCTACAAGGCGTATTTATGTACTGGTTATCTAACGTTCTCTTAAACCCTCGATTTCACTGTCGTTACCTTCTCGAGACTATTGAGGACACTCTTAGTCAATTTACGTTCCAGATGTTTCTATTCCTCGTCATGAGATGGATATGTAAGCATCAACTCATTCCAAAGAGGTCACAAATACCCAGTGAATTTCACAAGCCTTCTAATCAGATGCCAAATATCTCGTAACCGTTTTCACAAAAACTGACTATAAGTCTCTATCATGATGAAACATCCCATCAATTTCCCAGTGACACTTACTCAAAAGACTGAAGAGAACTTTGAACAACATTTCAACTGTCATACAGTCTTCCTTTAGTTGCCCAGTATTTAATTTGAATATGAGAGGTATATGTTGGTCGTTTTACCTTTTTCGAACATGAGAAGACTGTTTCTAACTTCAAACGAGGCAAAGCAACAGAACATGACAGTTTGCTCCAAATAGAATTTAAGGATGAAGCTAAAATGTTTCTGAAAACTGTAACGGTCGTACTTGGTAGTACATGAGAATCAGAAATGGTCCCGTCAAACTGGTCTACCTCACTGACCATACCAGTTCCCAAGAAGATAGAGAAGTCTTATGACAAGTCTTATGACAACCATAGGGGAATGAGTTTTACTAACATTGTGTCCAAGATCCTTGGGGTCCATAGTTACCCAGTGCTTAACTGCAGCTCGAGAACAACAAACTCGAAATAACCAGACACTTTTCAGATCTGGATGGTGGTGAATCGACCAAATCTTCATTCTTCGACAGGTTGTGGAACATGTGCACACTTACTAGTGGCTGACAGTCACCATAATTCTTAACCTGAAGAGGGTATTGGACTCTGTCGGCTGAGAGGTATTGTGGTAGTGTCTGAGTATGGAAGGGGTACTGAGTGAACATGCAATGCTTATCAAAGCTCTCTACTCGAAGTCATGTAAAGGTTTATGCAGAGTAACGACAAACGGTGGTGTCCTCAAGAGATGCCCACTGTCACTTCCTATTTAACTTCACTGTAGATGTATGAGAATGGATATAATCTCAGGTACGTGTGACTTCACAGGGATTAATCTACTTCCTAGAGGGTATCTCATTGACTTTGAGTATGCAGAGGCTGTTGGCCTGCTGGGTTAAGATACTGTCAAATGCAGGGTTTACTGAACGTGTTGAGGAGAAATCTGAATGTGTTTTGCATACGTTTCGCAGGTGTCGAATGTAAGACGTTGCTTCAGGACTGGTCTGAGCCAAATATAAGCTTAAAGTTAGGGTTTGAAGTGGTGGGATGTGTTGATTGCTTAACTTAGTTGGAAAGTTGCATCAGTCGAGGTGGGTGGATCGGTAACGAAATTTCGGCTCACATATGAAAATGCGACTTAGTGTTCGCCGACTTACGACATCTCGAGCGCTATTTAGATATCTGATTGCCTATCGAAGTCTGAGTATATGCGTATACTCGGCAAACTTATGTGCGTCGGTGCAGTGTGCAGTGAATCACACATTGTGTGGCTGATGACACTACGTGACTGCCCATGCCTTGGCAGATGGTGTGGGATTCGAACTCCAGACCTATCGGTGGGAAGCCTAGTACCTAAACCGGTGAGCCACAGCTCTATGAATATATCAGGCTGCAGTCATATCCTATAATACAGCTGCCAAACATGGTATCCAAAAGTATACATCAAGACATTACAGGTTTTTGATCGCAGGTTCCTTCGTAGCACTGGTCGCATACAGTGAAACCACCATGTGACCAGTGAGGAGATTAGCAGTGGGGTACTGGTCATGGGAAGCAATTCAGTCACTGAAGTCTAGAAACTAAAATGGTTATGGCTTGGACACCTGCTGCACATGCCAAGCGAGCACATACGTCAACATCCAATATTAGCCGAAGTAAAATGGGCTTCGAAGAAGGATCAAAGTCACCAGATTAAAACGTAACATCGGTCGATGAAGTCTTTGATTGTTGATCTCAGTCAAGTAGGGAAATTATAAATTCCCGAGCTGGATCTTCGAGATGACAGGAATCGATGATAGCAGATTTGATGGTATATTTTGAAATCGGTCGTAATGGCGCAGATATACCCACTCCTCGATGTCTTTCACAATTCGCTCATTTTCACTAACCTTCATTTACTTTGCGCTTCTCTCCTATACACTTCTGTCTACCTTAATATCACTTTCTTCTACCGATTTATATCCAAGCTGCCGTCTAGTTAGGTAACTTGGACATACGTAGTTTGTGCCCGGTACTACGTTAACTGGTTTCTGTCAGCTTACTACCTCATTTTTGCGAAATATATGTCCGACGTTTCATTTCATAAGACAAAGTAATTATTTCCCATAAAGAAATGAAAAAAGTAGCCGAATCTACAAGTTGACAGAGGAAGCTAGAGCCAAGAATATTTTTTCACGAGATAACGATTACCTTCAATGAAAAATTAATATCAACGGACTCATAAAAAAAAGGCTAGTAATATTGAACCTCATAAATGTCGACTTAGTCAACCGAATGACTTAGTGACAATGCAAACTTTTGTATGGTGAGTTGAGTCGCATCTAGTAAATGAAGACAAAAGATACTAACCATTCAATCAAAGTGAAGTAGGCATAGCGTGATCGAAACCCCTAACAAGTTAAAAACTAAGTGCTGAAAACCTTCAGTCAGACTTCAAACTTAATGTGAATATATGCTTCACCTTTCATGCGTAACCACATAAAATCATAAACAACTTATCAGAGATCAACAGAAAGTCTGAAAACGCTTTGAACAAAAGCACTGATAACTTACAAACAGGGAGTTTATGTCCTTTTTCTTCAAGTTGGATATATTCAGTCGTACGATAACGAGGAGCAAAATTGTAAATACTAGGAGTATCCTGACGACTAAACAAAACCGGTGGCAAATACAATGGCATATCACGAGATAGATAAGAATCAATCATTGTTGTCGGATCCCTGATTATGAGATCATTGTAGAATATTTTGTAGTTTGAAGATGCTACTCCGGATCCATCAGTTCTAGTTGCAGTTTGAATATGTTCAAATGGACCAAACTGAAAATCAGCCATAGCTATATTTTGAAGCAAGAAATAAGTGAATATTCATTCTAAAAACGCCTACGTAAACAGACATTATATATAACATTAGGCTAAAAACCATAAAACAAGAAAAAGAATAGTCACCAAGTTATATGTAACTAACTAATTAATGAATATTTGATAAACCAAAATGTAACTCACCTACCCACTACAGGTTCATCTACTAGGCTATGAGCTACACTTGTTGTCTGTGAACTTCTATCACCCAGCTGCTCAGGCAAGAATAGGTGGGAAGGGGATCGAACCTGAGACCAATTGCATGTGAGAAGCGTGCTTAACAAGTTGAAGTGAGTTTAATCTGGTCGAATGTCAAAGGTGGTCAGACTAAAACATACCATCAATTCATGACTGTTGATTCTCTGGTCGGGGTTTACATGACAACCGAAACCGGTGGTTGAAAAACCTAGTTCAGGACCGATTTCAGTGATACAAGTGCATCAACACATTGTCTTCATATTAATCGTCATTCCAAACTTCATTGTTATTCAATTTCTTCTTGCTCTCTTTTCACGACTTTCTACTGCTTCTTCTTTTTACCTTTATATGCTGCGAAGTATGGCAAGCTGAGCCGTTACGTACATGGTCATGACGCCAATCAACTCACGAACCTTTTACTAACTAATCATGAGGTATCAAAGGTCACAAATAGAAAAAGTGACTAGGTATATCAGTGGGTTTATAAGCATCGAAATGTACTTTAAAGAGTAACAGGAAGGATAGATATCCAATCAATAATATATTCTGTAGAATCACCTTTATGCGTTGAAACAACTCAGAAAACAATTTCAAAGTTAGAAGTGTAACTTGTAGTAATTGGATTGAATCGAGAACTTGATTTGGCAGAAGTAATGAATAATCGATGTAAATGTTAAAGTTAATCAGCTGAGGTTGCTACAGCATATACAATATGTATTGGGCTGCTCTTTACTCCATTACACAATGCTAGCTGGAGTCGGATAAGCTTAGAAGGAACCTGAAGGCGGTTAGACTAAGAGATGACAACGATTTACAGAGTATGAATTGTGTGAGGCATTTCACGCAACATTAGTGGGATCTCCTGGGTGCTGAGTACCAACAATTGGAGACATGGTGATATGACGCAACAATTACCACAACGATGTATATGCACTAAATTGATGATCCTTTGAATTTTGAATGCTCTATAGCCTTGCATTTATCTACTTTCCTTTTCTTTTATATCCTCTGTGTTCACTTGTTTGTAGGATACGACTCTGAAGTGTGGCAACTTGAAACGATGCACTTGTGTGCGAGGTTCTAGACTGATTTATGTTTATCTGTGTTCCACTTAAATATCCCTCTTCCTGAAGCGATTCGCTCTTTTTTGCTGTTTTAAAACCTGGGAGCTTGATCCAAGGTGCTACTTTGGTCTGTGTTTGTCATTCCAGTCATACATTTTTCGTATTTTCGCCATAAGTATTCACAGAGGTATTTCATTATACCCAGTTGTCTAGAGAATTGAGAGACTAAAGTACTCAGTTAGCTCTAAAACATCAGTCCCTACGTTCCGGAACCTCACAAGAGGTCAAAATCCAAAAATACCTCTGTTCGTGTTAAAAGCATAGTTTTAAAGATCTTATTGTCTCTGAGCTCTAACTATATGTTCAACAATTATTCATCTTGGAAATATGGAACATATTAGTTACATTTGACCAGCAATACTATATTTCGGTGTCAATTAGTAGAAAACAGGCTCCAAAAATACATATTTTCATGTAGATACATATCTGTAGATATTTGCAACACGTATTAAACCTTAAACTCTACCTTCTTGCTTACTTATGCTAACAAAAGATGTGGTTTATTATTTGCGCAAACGATACATGAACAGTCTTGTGCTGCATTATCAGTACAAAAGCAGACTGTAAAAATAACTTAATTAAGCCAATAAGTTACGTTCCCTTACATCAGATTCTGTCACCATACAGTAGTCATATCCAGCTTAACGTGTTGGTCTAAAAACACATAAACTACGTACTTACGCATAAAACCCTACTTGCGCCAAAAACCAAATACTAAAAGTATAAGTTACTAGAGAGCTACGCTAAACCTATAATTTAAACAACAAACAGTATAAAACATCAAATCATTTCCACACCTTCAAATTTATAGACCCGAGTAACTCGCCCCAAGATAACCGGGACCAGTTTCACCTCGCCTGTTCTCTTGTTTCTGCAGCGTTGCACTCGAATGACAAAGGAGTTTGATGACCGACCATCTCCACATGCAGGTTTAGCATACAACATATGTGGACGAAAAGAGAGATTCAAGCGTCGTTTATCGTCTGAAAACACCTATGGGTGAAAGAGAAACAGTACCACATGGTATGTAGAAATGTCAACATCTAATTAATAAGCCGTAATTATCAATGCAACTATCTGATATAGCCACGGTCTGGCAGGCTCATTATTGATACTGAGTAGTAGTTGGAGGTAGAACGAAAACCTGGGTTGCAGCAGGATTTGCACTAGCAGTCTAGGGGTTACCCAACCGGTGCTCTACCAACTGTAATTACACATGTGCCATCAACACATTGAACGCTATTGTAGACTCAAATTAGAACACAAGTAACGCAAAACATACCTGATGTTCATGAATATAAGCAACTGAGTTACCGCAAATCTCACCTCATATTGACTTCTTGTATGCTATATCAAGGAAGTGCGCATCGTTCGCCCCCAGATTTTTATCACAACACTGTCACCCCTCAGATATGCACCACGGTGAATAGACTTGAATTGTTAATCGCATTGGAATTAACATTCAAAAAGAATCTTTCCACTATGTTGTCTGCTGTTTAGAATGCGAGATTAGCAGTTTCCTTTGTGAAACCGATATGCAGTGCATTATCAGCAAAATAAACGCTTCACTCATACAGTAAGTTCTACGCCGGTAAGTGTGTAGAGATATATCAAGATAGAACGAAGTAAGGAAGACTGAATATGTATGCTACTAGTTACCTAATATAAATCACTTTACATAGAAAATCTAAACAATGTATACAGCTCACGAACAGTAATTTTAACTAATAAAATTATGGAGAGATGTTATTAAAACACCCCTTTTTCGCTTGTCTTAAACTGATGTGTTCATCTTGCTTAAAAGACTGACCTATAACCTTTTGCATAAAGTTGTCAGTAGAAACATTTGATACGACGACCTATACCAGTTGGCAAAACGTCGACGTTTTTCGATCTACTATCCACCAAACTACTAGACATATGCTCTTCATCGTGTATGAATATCCCAATGACTCTCATGTACAATCTTATCAATTAGAAAGGATCCAATCATGTTATAAACTTGAATGTACAACAAAAATATTAGGCTAGTACAACAACCACTTTGAAAGGCTCTATAAACGTTGCGTGATAGTAAGCACTACCCGTTTTCCAGGTATCGACGATTATTAGACCTACGGTAAATAATTGTGAAGAGAATCTTTAATCCTAACTACGCGCCAATACCATATCTGGAGCTTAGACGGAGTAGTGCTAATGGTATGAAAGTCAACTTATCTAACAAATGCATGTCTTACGCCTCCGTATCTTAGCAAAGTGGAAACGCACAAACGAATACGTTACCTTAAGATACCACACCCCTCAAATATGAAGAAATAAAATTAGGATAAAGCATCAAAACCAACGAATAAATCATCGAGACGATACGATACGACTGTCAAGTTTAAGACTCTCAGAACACTTTCTGACCTCAAGCTGAATACCATCCTTACACAAGTAATCAGGCTTCTAGACAGGACTGGAAAACCAGAAACTAGTCACAGCCGGTAGGACCACAAGAATGACCTCCCGGATACTTTCATCTAAGTGATAAATTGTTCTAAACTGTGCTAGTTATCTGTGACACTTTACCAATTGAAATTTAGGGTGTACATAGAATTGCGTGGTCGTCGACAGACTATCAAATGACCCTTAATGCAATAATAGGGAAATATTTTCCCACTTTTAAATACAGCAATCAGAGTATAGTTGGCTTTTCAATGATGTTTAGAAACCTAACTAGGTTTTCGACTGTTTTAACTGTATTGAGCAAAAGTATGTAGGGTAGAGATAATGATGTGGATAGCTCGGTACGAACGTGAGAAGGATTCAACTGACTACCTTTCACCCCGAATTATCCACATAACACCAGAAATATTATTGAATCGGAGTTTCAGAAAATAAAAAGACATGAGGCCCACAGTAACGCACAAAACAGCTCGACCTATAGTTGAGAAGAAGATTGACTCGCTGTTTGTTTGCAGCTTTGACTTCGTAAGCACTGCGTACCTACTTGAAATTATATGGTAAGATCAGAAGTTTAAATAAAGGTCACGATTAGATTTGGGGTGCAAATGTAATACTGAAATGTAATCCAGTGCGAACTTTCTGCCTATGATTTCATTTTATACAGGAAATAGAAGCACATGAAAAACCTCTCAGAACAAGTAAACAGTGACAGACGACATAGAGAGTAATTGCCTCCGATTCAACCAAAATTTCCATCGACATGAATGCGGTAAGCCTATCTAAATCCAGCGACATCCTCTCGATGACTTAAAGCTTTCCAGAACGAACATACAGCCACCATCAACTTGATTGACCAACTCAAAGTCTTTCGGTAGTTCCTGAAGGAAGGCAGAATTCTATAGCTACACCAAGTTATTCCAAACACCGTATTGGGCCGCCCTTCACAATCTATATTACCTATATGTTAGGTCTCTATGACATTTCGGTTTAACACAGACCTGGCTTTGGAAATCTGTTTAAATCTATGTCAACTCGATAATTGCTACCTTCGGACTTGGTAGCGAAATGAGTTGTTCTGGACGAACATCTGTCGACGTCCTGACATCCCAATAAAGCCAGCCGCATAACTTTGGAAACAAAAATACTTGTCGTTATACTGTGAATATCTTGCGTTGGAATAGCGTTTTGAGGGTCAAATCACACCGTTAATTAAATAAGAATGTAGCTGAAGTATGACGCTCCCTTTAAATTACCACTGCTTCATCTGCACTTCCACTTCCAACTCGGAAGGAGAGGCAGAAAGGATAATCTCTGCAAACCGAGGATTCTGTTTTGCCGTCACCGTTTCGCAGCCAATGGTAGAGTCCTGAAAGGAACGGAAACAGCTCTATATGACTAAATAAAAGCAGACAGATAAAACCACCGATTTAAAAGAGCCTGTTAAAGTCATCACAAAAATCAAAAGTACCTCAGAAATTTGTGTAAGCCCACCAAGCATTTCAATAGCCACTTCGACGTTTCTCACTACTGCTGGGAACTCAATTCCATAAAAGGCATTAGTTGGGAGACTTAAATCCATGGGTTGAGGTGCAGTCAAAAATGAAATACAATTCAGTAGAATGTGTAGCACATAGTACGTTTCCTAGGCAAGGTCCTGCATTTGAAAAGACTTCAGTCCATGCAACAATTGTTAACTTTGTGATAAGCAAGTGTAGACCATAAATTTAGGCACTTGAAGATTTGAATACTCGATGACCATGAATTCTAAGCAATAAATTCTAGAAGGTATCGGTTAAATGTTATCACGGTAAACCTGTGGTACAAGTAAGGAACCACGAGAGCCACGACCTTGAGGAACGAATCACCCCCAGTGGTTGGCATCCTTCAATTTTCAGAGCCTTATGGAATCTAGTGTCCAATACCTTTATCATAACTTCGTGTGAATCAGTTGACTTATATACGCTCACATCTGGATCCTACAGAACAGTTTAAGGTTTTTGGTAGATTCTTCTACTGTAAATCAAGCAAGTGGTTTTTTAAGGGTACGGTTAACAAAGTGAATGGTTACGAGTCAGTTGATCTTGTAGGGAGATGTTCTATTTGTCCTGAAATTGTCAGTCAGTTGAGATATGCACCAGAGAATAAGCACTTCAAAGTACAACAGTGTCCCACTGAGTGATCAGAACTTTCTATTGTCGAGTTAATTATTAAGGAAGTATTTTGCCAGTTGTTATTGTTTACAAAGGACACTTCCATGTGATCGCACAAAATCCATGCAGCGCTGGTACAGGAAACAACATCATTGTCGGTTGAGCTTTTGATTTATTAACTTGAAGCACCACTGGAGTGCAGCATCAACGGTAGTTAGTTCGCAAAGCTAATTTGAGAAAGTCAAAGAAGTAACCCCAAAGACTCCAGGCCTATGACTGTCTTATCCATACCTTCACAAAGCAGTACAGTAGTTGATTTATGGCTGATTAAGGGACTCCCTTGCGTCATTCAAATTCTTCGTCCCCCAACAACAGGGATTAAAAAGTGGTACTGTTGCCTGACCCGCTTACCGCGGCAGATAAGTGAACCAGTACTGTTGACCGTCGAAGTGAAACCGGTATTACTAATCTCCGATACGTAGATGCATTTGCCCCTGCCATCTTCTTTTCCTTTCTTTCTCTCCGCATCTCCGTTCTGGTGATCCACTTATGTACACATCTTTCAAGTCGTCATTGCAGTTTGTGGTTCCTGTGAAAGTACTGCTTCCAACCTTTTCCTGTTGTATACTATCTCAACTTATATCCGGTAGGCAGACTTCGAGTCCATCCCTGCACACGTACAAAATGCTCTTCCACACTGGCCGCAGCTCCTGACAATTTCTCCTACTCACTACAAATGAATGAATATATCTCCTGAAGTCATGAAAAGAAACTTCGATGACCTAGTCGCTTTGATAGCATCTGAAATTTAATGCACACCAGTTTTCAACTTACCGCTTACAAATGTCGTTCTGTCTTCCTCCGGCAGACTAGACTCAGCTGTGCTTTGCAGACATGCTGCTCATCAGTTCACCGGGAGCAGGGTGCGTCTCTAAACGTTTGAAGAATTGGTTCTAAACCATAAATTATTGCGTTATCCAGCATATTCATGCAGTTCAGCTTGTACTACCCGACTTTCTTTGCCGCTGCGGGGCATCAGAAACTGAGGACACTGAATATTCCAAAATCACTGGGCTGAAATAAAAAATTTAATTCGGCAAGACGTAAGCTGCGAAAGGATATAATTGCTACTGGCTTTTGACGCGGCATTGGTTAACAAATTTCGAAGTCGTTTTACATAGTTAAAGAGATACCCAATTCACGCGGAATTCATCTCTAAGCAATCGAAATTCCCTCCCAACCGAATTTCAAATACCTACTCCCAAATCAAACAGCCACATGATGTTTCGTGCTTTCGCCTTAAACGCTTGTGATTTTCCCAACCTCGGTGAAGTAAGCGGAAATGTGGAAAATCATTCTCTATTAGTACACTCAAAAGAGTGAATTAAACTTCCATCATAAACTATGAACGAATTCGTGTCACTCCACCTATCTGAGGATTGTTAAAGAATACAATTAAGGGGCTCGCTTTAACATCACCTCCCGAAATAAATTTATGGAGTCTCTTCCATGCAAAGCACACCGCCTAGTACTAGCGTCTGTTGCGTCATCGGCTCACTTTTTCCCTCCCGGATCCTCGTGGGCACCGTGAAACCTACACCTCTCTATTCACCCCTCCGCAGCAGCGAACCTACAGGCTAGACGAAGAACTACCAGTGCCGATTGTCACAAGCTCTTCAGCCAGATTAGTGACAAAAGGCAAAAGAGGTTTATCGCTGGTGTCGTATGCTTTAATCTGCACCAGTTTTCGAAACGTTTCATAAAACGTTTGAGAGATCATGCTTTGCTGCTGAATATTTGGATTGCTTAATTTACGGTATTTCGCTAACGACCCATCAAGTATCTAGGCTACCAGCCTTGTTTGGTCCTGAACCTCTTACATGCTTATATTCACACTGAATAGACCGTTTTCCTTCCTGTCTTGCGGACGTGGATTCCCGAGTTCGTGGCGTGTTTTGCGCTCTTTTTTGCTGAATCAGATAACATTAGTTGGAACTTCGGAGAATTAAATGCATCAAAACTTTTGGATTGGCTTAACTCTTGTCATTTCTATTTACTTAGTTCCCTGCAGAACTGAATCCTTTCCAAATGTGATCTCTACTCACGACTGCTACAAGAGCGGTTGAATTTATTTCCTCGGTTCCAATTTTCGGACGTGCGTGAAATTCATACATACGACAGAACGTATGACACGGCCAAAATGAAACAACGTTGTAATCCCTTGACAATCGGGGCGGAAGATCCTGAGCCTCATCTGTTTTCCACCAGTCTGCATAATCTAGATGCCCGCCTCACAGACTACCAATTCAGTAAGTCATTCATAATAATCTGGGTCGTCGCTTTCACACAGAAATTTACACTCGCATTAACACGAATTACGACAGTGAGCTGAAGTCACTGCTATCCCATCTATAACTACTGTGGGAAAATCAGTAGTCCAAGCATTGCAGCTAAGTGTGAAGCCGTGAATTTTTGTGACGCCAGTACCAGCATAAACACGGCTCACATGGCTGCCACTGAAAAACTTTGAGGTTAATAATGGGTGTGTTCAACTACTTTACTTTATACGCCATAACGTATGCCAAAATAGCAGTAGTTACGCCTTCAGTTCAGTGATACCCTTCTTACTAATTTAGTGGTTTCGCTGACACATTTTCCAGCACCGCATTCAGATGCCAAATAGTGGGGGTTCTTCAAGGCCAAGTTCTTCGGAATATTCTACACGCTTCGCACAAACGCCGACCACAGCAACCGAATATCAAGTTCTACATTTAAATGAGTGGATACAGCTGGTTGACGGGTGTGCCTCCAGTGGTGTGCCGGATGGCTCTCTACCCCTCAACCTTTCGGTATCTTGTGTAAATGGGGTTAGGAACTTATTTTAGATAACACGTTCGGCCCATTCAAACGGCATTAAAAGACCTCCACCTGTTTATGGTGGCTTCTCTATTCGAAGGCTCAAAAAATTGAGCGTGACCGAAATCCTGCTCCCCGGGTGACACTTTTAGGACCAGTAGCCAGCAGACCGCGATGCCAGTCGATTCCCACATTTGAACGGCAAACAGTTTTTAGCGTCTGGTGTCTTTTCCTCCAGGTCCCATAGATAAACATTCGGGAATACTGGTAAAAACTGATCGGAAGGCAAGTTCTAATCAAAAAGGAATGTACTTCAGCAACGTCATGGAATACACATACATACAGCTTATCTTCTCTGAAAGTTCTCACAATCCACGTCCTCTCTTTTTACCGCCTTCTATGTCACTGAGGACACGGGTGACTTCCAGTTAAGAATTCGACGGCTCTTTTCTAAGCATTTAAAGGTGTATATCAGTTCATTAACCCATATAAGTTTCTTACGTGAACATTTAACAACCTTTATAACCGTATCTAGGGAAACTGTTTTAATTTTTGAAGTAACCGACTGGATATTTAAAAATACGTGAACAGCGGCTGTTCTTCCCCAGGACCTTATACTTCGCTGAGCCGCAAAAGCCAGAGGACAAAGAGTGGCCTGTGGCCATAGGGGAGGCGAACCTCATCTGGATGCAGTTTTCTCTCAGAAAACTAGGCAGCTAAAGCATAAGTTGAAAATTTATCTTCATTCCTCAATTAAAAACGACATTCCTCAGTAAAACCCTTTCATCCGCAAAAAAATCAAGGTTGTAATTCACGACATCTACATTCGCATCTGACGATCTTGAATACTGATTTCAGTTTAGGCTGCCTCATCTCACTCATCTTTCTGAAACAATGGTTATATTTGGCTTCCATACTAACAGTACTCTTTCTCCATAAAATTTTGTGATTTATTCTGCCCCGAGAATTAACTTCAGAGTCAAATATTTTGCTGGCGTTGAATACGGCTTGAGACCCAGTCATTCAGCCTTGGCGCCCAACTTAGTTTTTGACTGCGTTTTGGGAAATGTGATCAATGTTTGTGAATATAAAGGAATGCCAATTTATTCCTCCACAAATCTCTAAAATTCTGAAGGTTTCCCATCATTTTTCCGACAATACGGGCAACCGGAACTTTATCAGCTGTCCACGTTAGCATGTACGAGCAATATAAATACCTCCCACTACTTGCTTCAACGCTAGTAAAATTATGTTCTTCCACCAGTCCAGAATAACCGTGGAGGCCATTCCAATTCAACCAATACACTGGTTGTAGAAGCCAAATCCCAACGGTTTTCCATCGCTTTCGATGTTGTCATATTCTATCAGCTGAAGTAAATTTAGGTTTTTCACATTCTGTACGGTCCAAGTCAGTTCTGCTGGGAAAAGTGGAGTTGCAACTGTAAATGGCTTTGAGCCAATGAAAGCTCAAGTCATTACGAGTTGACGATTGCCGCTGTAATCTTCGTCCGGAACAGTGTCTGATTTCAGAAATTTACTCTCGGGGGAGGGAAATGGATGAGCTAACGGAAAT